TTAATTTTCCTTGTTCGTTGTAAATAATTTTTTTTTTTGAATTATCTTGCGATCCTTTGGAGTTATTGATATCAATCTCTGTATCATCGTACTATAAAGAAATTATTGAATAATATAATTATTTTAAATTTGATTTTATAGAATTCACAAGATTTATTTACATGCTGGCTCTTATCTTCATTTTTTGTCCAACAAATACAATGTAAAACTTTTCTTTTGTTTTTATTTTACGTATACTCTTTGGGGTCGTCCATAAAGGACGTGATTCAGAATTTAATTACTAACCCGAAGTAGAAGTTTATTGGTTCTCTTCCGCGGAGATTTTCATTGAACATAAGGCGCTATATTACTCTTAAAATCTCTGCGCACAAGAGCCAACATTCTCCTACTTTTTGTCATTGTTAAACTTAAAGTGACATCCTTTATGGATGATCCCTTTTTCATCTTTTTCCCCGTTTCTTTGCTCTTTTTCTTCAAGCAGCTCTGGACAACTGGTTCAAGCCTAGGAGCAAGAGAAAATCCATAAGGAAAGCAATTGGGCGATTGCATCCCGCCCCCCTCCTCCTTTAGATATTTTGAAAATAATATATATATTTAGCTCAGCAATTGTTTGAAAACGGGAGTAAATTAGGGAGGCTGTTTAAACGTAATAAAAATTTTAAGAAGTTTGTGTTCTGCAAAAAATAATCGGACTGATGGGATATTGCCGCTCTACCCTAGTTGTTATGTTATTTCCTTGAGTGTTATCTAACTTTTAGAACATTGATTTTCTTTTGCCTAATCCTTAGAACTTCTAAACTTCTAAAACTTAGAAACCTAATCCTTAGAACTTCTTATTGGAATTTATTCAGAAGAATCCTTAAGGTTCTTCACTAAGCGATTAGGATTAAACATAATTTATGCATAAGATAAAAGATTAACGTATAAAAAACTAACGTAACTATCTAATTTAATGAAGTGATCCAACTATAATGACTTGAACTTATTTTTTTTAAAAAGACGTTTTAAATTTCACGGTAATAGTAAAATCTGAAGAAAAATTTTTTCATTTATATTCTTGTCAAATGAGGATGACCGTTCATTATCCCTGAAATTGAGGAGGTTTAAACTTTATATTGTCATAATATGTGAAGGCAAAGAGACTATTACATGAAATTTAAAACTTCATCTCGCCTTATTCAGGGCCATCCTAAAGAAATTTAATTGAAAGGAGTGGATGAAAAAAAAAGGATTTTGAAGACTAGGGCCAAAAAATATTTTTTGCTGAGTAAAACCAAAAAAAAAAAAAAAAGATCCTCGTAGGCTAAACTAATTTTTAAAGAAAGTTTTATATACTATTTTGCCCGTAACTCACCTTATAAAACTTTTATTACTAAGTTACTTTTCAATAAGTAACATTTTTAAAAATGCATTATTTACAACGGAGAACAACCCCGTTCAATTGCGCGTGGATGTGTTGGAGTTCTATTCGAGTTGCGTTGAGATAGGGTAGAAAGAATCTACAAATTCAAGATGGTTACTAAGTCTATAATAAGATTGAGGGCCATCCCATTTATTATAGAGTTGTAGAAATTGCAGAAAAAATCTTTAAAAGTGATGATTTTTTTTTTACGAGCCACCGAGTGTGGCAACTTCTCTGTTTTAAATGCTCAACCGAAGCTTCAGAGAAACTGTTTATAAAAATGTTTTAAAACTTGTTAATTTTCTGTTCACTCGAATCAATTTTTTATATAATAGCATGACGTTGTTTCATATTCAGCAATTGATAAATACAATTAAAATGTTTTATTTTTCATTTAACTTATTTGATAAAAGGACAAAATTTTATTAAAAGACAAAATGGATTTTCAAGTCAAAATATGGTGTTTTTAACTTCAACAAGTTCATTAGCTGTTAACCAATCGCCAACCATATATTTGATGTTTTAGATATGAAATTTTTAGACATTGTGCTATAAGTTTATAAAAATTATAAATTTAAGTAAGACCCCAACTTTTAGCATATTATTCCAAACTTAAATTCATCAACAGGTTTTATGTTTTATTTAATAAACTTTCAACAATCAAAAGTTGTGACCATGTAAAATTTTCGCCCAATATAAGAGCAAAAAAAATTTTTAACTTTTAGAACAATAAAAGATTATTATATGAAATTTAAAATCTGTCGTCAAATTAAATTTTAACATAGTATGCTAAAAAACATATTATATATATATATATATATATATATATATATATATATATATATATATATATATATATATATATATATATATATATATATATATATATATATATATATATATATATATATATATATATATATATATTATTTGGTTCTTGTCTTAAACATTTTAGTAAATCGTTGCACAATAAAATCGTTAACATTTAAATAACAAAATCATACAACAAGAACTAAGTAAAAGATAATATAGTTATACAGGTATTTAATTTTATAAAAAGAACGCGGAGACTCGCAGAAGACCGTCAGGTCTTGTCATCGAGAGCCGCTCGTATTTTACAATCTCAATAAATCATAATCAAATATAGTTGTATATCTCTATAAAAACTTTACAGCATAAATACATCAAATATTATATGAAATTATTACACGTTTAAAAATATAAAAATCTATTATCCAGAGACAAAATTATTTCTTTAAGTTTATTTTTAAATGAGAGGTAATTCCATTCCAGAGAAATATCAAATTGTTTTAAAACTATTTTATTCCAAAGAAAAGCATTCCCTCTAACTCCATAGTATTCTATTTATTTAAGGAGAATTCGATGATCAATAGTGTCAAACGCTATTGATAAATCTATGAAAATTCCCAAAGTATATTGGGACTTCTCAAAAGATTCAGCTATACTGCGAGTAATTTGGAGTATTGCGTGTTCTGTCGAGTTATTTTTTTTTTGAACCCGAATTGATTGATATATAGTATATTATTCTGATTGATATATAGTATACTATGATATATAGTATATTATTCAAGGAAAGATGATTATAAATAACATTATATAAAATTCTTTCTAAAACTTTAGAAAAAACAGAAAGAACAGAAATTGGGCGATAATTTATAACATTGGTTGGATCGCCTACCTTAAAAACCGGAGTGACTTTAGCTATTTTTAAATGATCTGGAAATATTCCCTGTTTTATTGAACAATAAAAAACTTTAAATAGTATATCTTTTAAGTGTTCATACGAGTCGATGACAACATTACTATTAAATTATATATTTTTTAGTTTTTAAGGTGCTCCATGAATGGTGGTTGGAAGGTTAAATTATATGTTGTTTTTAATATATATTATAGCTAGGTTTTAGATAGCGAAACTGCTGCTTTGTTATAGTTATTATTATTATTTTGTAAAATTGATTAAATAAAGTCTTTCACCACCTTTTTAAAAGGTTTTGTTTTTTTAACACAATTTCAGATGTGACAAAAAAACAAAAGATTAGATACGGTTTGTAGCTAGAGATCAAACCTGCTGAAATAGATTGATTTCTTTTTTGATTTAATGTATGAAAATTCACCTGAGCTGAGTGCTTATTTGTTTTAACCATATTTCAAACACAATATTTTATTTCAATATCAAGAGTTATAATTAAGTATATATAAAAATAAAAATTGCAAAATATTTAAAAAATAATTGTATTGAAATTGAGCAGTTAATTTATTTTTGAAATTGAGTAAAAAAAAAAAATGCTAAAATTATTTTTGTTTCTTTTCTTTTTTATTTATTTATTAAATAAGGAAATTCTTTTTAAAGAACTTTTTTCAACACTATAAAGTATGAATTAAAACAAAGAAGCCTCAAGTCAAAACCAATCAAAGCAAATAAATACTTTATTCTAATATGTAAAATGTTCAAGTAATATATTTTTGACAAAAAAGAAATTTTATTAAGCTGTAACCAACTATTTTATTTAAATCCAAATTCAAATATTCAACAGAATGGTGTTTATTTTTTTAAGCTGAAAAAACAACATGTCGGCATTAAATTAGAAAGTCAAACTCTATAAATTTTTTAAACCTATATCTAATGCAACTTATTCAAGTAATAGAACTTCTCATTTCAAAAAGGACGCTAGCCTTGTAACAGTTAGTTTATAAATTTATATTAAAAATCTCTGTAAGATTTATGTTTTTTTTAAAAAAAATTAAAGTTACATAAGTTATATAAGTTCTTTATTTATCTACTTCTAGGTTTAATTTCTTTAGCAGCGTTATTACTTCAATAAAAATCATGTTTTTGTTGATTTTGTTTTAATAAATGGACTCGTGCCCTTTTCAAAATGACAGGTTCAATTGACGGGAGCTTATCCAAAACCTTATAAAATCTTTGACTTTGGAGATTCATAAACGTTTATAACTGTTTTATACGTTTTTAAAAAACATTTTATTTTCCTTTATTGGGTACACTTGGTTTTGTGTCGTCTGTGTTCACCTGCGATATGATGAGGAGATATAAATGGTATTTATGTAATATAAAATGATAAGAGTGTATTTACTGAAAAATAGAAAAGCCTTAAAGTTGACTTATGTGAGCTTTTGTATCAAATAAACACTTCTGGGTTGCGATACCCTCAGTTACGATTAAATAAAAGTCAAGATACATCAAAAGTATTGATACAATGTATTTGTAAAAGTATTGATACAATATATTTTTTTAGTTAGCTTAGAAAGTTAGATGATGCTAAATATGATCAAGAAACATGGCAAATATAAATGAATATTTTAAATAATATATTTAAGTATTAGAAATCTGAAATCTTTTTTCGGGAGTCATAAAATTTAATTGCGTCGCAATGGAGGTTTTAATTCTTATCAAATTTGCGTTGTAAAAGAATTTTTGTTTCTTTTACAATTTGTTAAAACGAATTATTTAGGCTTTTTTAAACGTTTAAATTTTTATTAAATAAACTTAAATTAAAAAAAAAAACATGTATTAAGAAAATACACAGGTAGGAAAAAAAAAAAAAAAAAAAAGCAGAAATAACACACACATAAATACTTTAATCATTAATCAATGTTATTAGATATTAAAACAAAAATTAATAAATAAAAAAATCGATAGTTCTATCGAACGCCAAAAGTTTGTTACGCGGATTGTTTAAGCGTAATGTAGAGTGTACGAAGCAAGATACAGATTAGAAAAACCAGCCTAGACTCGTTGAATCAAGCCTCAATACAAATAGGGTACCAATAAATCACAGCCTTAACCATCAATTCTTGAGTTTTCCGTTAGGCTAGTAATTCGCAATGATCAAGTTTTAAAACGCAGAGGTCTTTATTTAAAAACGCATGAACGTTTTGTGAATTTTATGACCGTCATTCGCAAAGATAATCTTTGGTTGTCATCGTCAATACGTAAGCAGTAAAGCTTTCATAATGAAACCATTTTCCCATATAGATTAGGGATTTAAATTATGAAGGACCGCCTCTTGTCATCCATCTATAAAGAAAAGTTTATAAATCTGACCAACATTTCCATCATTAAAAACAAAACAAAAAACAACAGAAACATAACTAAATTTTTGAGATTTGATTTTTTACCGCTTGTTTAAAAAAAACAACGTATTTTCAAGATAAATTTAAAACAAATTATGTATGTATGTATGTATGTATGTATGTATGTATGTATATATATATATATATATATATATATAGTAGTTAATAATTATAAAACAATATAACATTTATTATCATTGCTTAATACGAGCGCAATAATAAATCAAAAAAAATTGATTCATCTCGTTATTCACATTGAATAAAAAATACTTATTAAAATTCGAAAGTATTTTTAATTAAATATAAAGAAAACCATCGGGAATTAGGATCATCCGGAATATTTATTTGATATAAAATTAACCTTTGTTTAATTGCAAATCACGTTTGTGTATAATGTCAAATAGTAATATTTGAATATTGTGACCATATATGGTGTTTAGTTCATGTCGAATTACTTTTTCTTACATCATTATGATAACTTTTAGCAATGCAACAAACAAGATAAGTAATTTTATGAATCTGTATGGCGGATAAGTGATTTAATGATTATAACAATAGGAAATAGTATTACACATGCATTAGCAATTATTTTTTCCGTTTAAGGAATTATTTTATTATACTTAAAAAACCATTCGAGATCTGACGTTGATAAAAGCTAGTTATTGCTTTTTTAAAGTTCACAGTTGGTCTTGAACAATGACACTAATGAGTCCAGACAAACAACTTCTCAGAGAATTATTAGATAGAAAAATAAACGCCAAAATATGAGGAGAAGTGACAGAACAAAAACAAGATTAGAAACTCATAATAGAAAGAAATAACTAACTTATTACTACGATATTATCAGCTGTCTCTTCAGAAATCCTCTTAAACACTTTCATTGAAAATATACTTGAGAAAATGTTTTTGTGTAAATAAAATAATCGAAAGGTTAAAATACTTGACACAAAACCTGAACGCCAGTTCAACGACCAGAATACAACTCCTATTATTAAAAAATACAGAGTTAATTTGTTTGCTAATCTCTTGATACAATATTTATTGCAAATATTAAAAGAAGTCTAGAATTAATAACGTTAACGCAGTGATCAGCCTAATAAAATGCACATAGAAGCATGAAATTTTCTCATCATTAAATTGATACCAATTTAGAATATATTTGTTTACTAAATATTTCAGAATGTACATTTTTTTTATTATTCATTTTTTAAAGAAAAACAAAGAATAAAAAAAGAAAAGAAAAAAGAAATAAAAAAAATAAACAAAGAAAAAAAAAAGAAACAATAATTAAAAAAAATTACTTTTGACAAACTTAGCACCATATTTTATTATGGGTAAAAATTAACATATAAATATTGACATAAATCATTTATGTTTAATTTTCGAAAAAGTTGAATCAATTAAAAGCAGATGAAAGAAAACATTTGACTACATTTTGTGCTTGTATTTTTAAAAGAGCTTTTAAGAAGAGATTTTTTCGGATTTGCAACTTGATTAAAAGTTTATCGTATAACAAAAATAATGTTGCAGTTTTATTTATTGCAATAATTTTATTTATTGAGCAAACTTTTAGATCATTTAAGTTTAACCGAAAAATAATTTTTAAAAAATAACAATATTTAAAATATAAATATTTTGAAACACTTCACTAATTCCATGACTTTTTAGAACTATAGAAACCCAATATATATATATATATATATATATATATATATATATATATATATATATATATATATATATATATATATATATATATATATATATATATATATATATAAACACACAGATATATATATATATATATATATATATATATATATATATATATATATATATAAACTCTTGTTGAGCTCAAGGAAAAATTTCATTTGATAACATTGAATTGACTCTTTTAATGTCTTTTTAGGACTTTTTACCCACCTGTTTTATTACACTTATTTCGTTCAATTCAACTCATATGCATTAAAATATTTTTAAAATTTCAGACTTTTAACTCAACCTGAAATATATTGTTCATATGTAATTTTAATTTTAGGAATAATTTAGTACACTTAAAAACCAATGTTGATAAAGGCTAGCTTTTTATGCTATCGCACAATGCCACTAATGAGTCCAGACAAACAGACTTCTCAGACTTACTAGATAACAAAATAAACGCCAAAATATGATGAAAAGTGACAGAACAAAAACAAGATTATAATCTCAAAATAGAAAAAAAAACTAACTTATTATGCTACATTTCAATTAAAACATAATTAAAAATATAACTTAAAAAAACACAAACATACTTTTTGTAAAAATCCACTACAGGTTCCACACTGATATTATTTTCTTTACATATATCTAATGTTTGCTGAGAAGGGCGTGTTCCCATTTTGGAATTCTTCCCCACATTCTGCAAGCTATTGAAAGTTGTTAAAAGTGTGACAGTACCCTCGCGCTTCTCATGGAAATAAAGACAGCACTTAACAATTTGTAGAAATCTCCTAAGTAAAATAATTAAAACAAATTTAAACTGTGATCTATGATTTAAATAGTAAAAAAAGATTTGACACATAAGGATATCCAACTCTTTTATTAAAAGTAAGCGGAGCTGGTTCTTAACATGAGCAAGTGCAAAGCATAGCGGTGCAAAGTATAAGGCATAAAGTGTGTGGAAAGCATAGCAGTGCAAAGTAAAAAAGTTTTAGTCACTTAATTGATTTTAGACCACGGTAATAAAACTAAGCAAAAAATAGTTTGGTCGGCAGAACAAATTAAAAAGACAAAAAATGCTGAATTTTTCAAAAAGCAGAACACTCTTCATAGTTCAATTTTATGTGATAAATATGAGAGCCCAAAGGTAAGAATGAAACTTCAGAAACTACAAAAGCATAAAAAAATTGAAAATTCAAGAAAAATACAACTAAAAATATGACAAACAGCATTAGATTCACTCCCAGTTGTCTGAAACGAGGTGTCATACTTAAGTACCCACGTACTTGTATATAAATGAGTTGCTGTCATACTTAAGTACGTATATCAGATCGTATATCATCCAGCTCATATTAAAAAAATCTGGAAAATTGTTTGGGTACCCGATATATATTTTCCTCTTGATTTTGCTTTTAGCTGAGTTGATTCAAATTAAAAATTTTTTTGTTTTAAATATTTGTATTGAAATTTGATGAGTGAAAAAGCTTAAAAAACAAATATATTACAAAAATATATACCTAAACTTGTATCTATGGAAAACGTTTTGGATATCCAGAAAAACGAAAAGTTGAGAAAAATATCTGGAATTCTGGAAATATCCGGAATAAGATAATCCTGCATGATAAATAGATGATTAAGTACTAAGAAAGATGGAGACTGTTTTAGCATATTTTTCATTGCAAGCTTTTTCTTAGGCTGAATTGAACATGCTGTGGTAGCATCTATCATTCAAAATGTCAAAATTTGGTGTAAAAACTGCATGGTGGTGAAAAAAATCCTGGATCATTTACAATTGACCAAGGCTGTAAGCTGATGGCAATTAATTCAATTAAAGACACAAGAAACTTTTTTAAGTTTTAACCAATATTTATCAACCCAGTAAGGAATTATAGATTTGATCTTTTTTTTTTCTTTTCTCACTTCCAACAAGGCTGCAAGCAAACACTATTAGAGTTTGAAGTTCCTTGAAGAGAAAAGAGGAAGTTTATAAAGCAAGAGAACAATTGAAAATCTTATGTCAAATAAGGTTAACGGTCATTTTTTACTTGCAAGAGACTCAACCTGATCAGAAATGAATAAAAAAAATTGAAAAATGTAGACTTTTTAGTGTGATCCGGTGATGAAAAAACATTTAAATGCAAAAAATTCAAATAACAATTCAAATAAAACATTACTCAAAAAAAAGACTTAAAAGAAATTAATTCCATTAATTGGCAAAAGAACTAAAAATAAAATTATATAATTATATTTTAATATAAATATATATAATTATAATAATAAAAAGTATTCATCCATTCTCAGCAGTCATTTGAAAAGACTTTTGAACGTTCGAGATATACTTTGAACTGCTAGGTTATTATACTCCAGATAATAGACAAAAAGGTCAAATGCTGGTTATTGTAAAGTGCATTACATTTACATTAAAAAATAATAAAATAACTAAATAACCTGTGTTCAAAACAATTTTAAAAAATTCAAAAAAAAAAAAAAAAAAAAAAAAAAAAACTATTTTGAAAAATTATATAAAAAAAATTTAGAATAAATTTACCACTCATCAATTTCCCTGTTTTTCTTCTTTGCAGTGTTGGAAAGGCCATGGTTGTTTACTGTTTCATGATCTTTTTGTGTTTTCAGCCACCTTTTAAAGTAAAGTTGCTAAAAGTTAAGCCTTACAAGTCTTATAAAAAAAAATGAAGTTAAAATTTTAGTAATTTAAAAAAACTTTAATTTCACCTGTTACCATGTTTTATTTCTTCTTCTAAGAACTTAATTCCATCTCTAGCACCCTGATTATACTTTTTGAGATCATCTAATGCAGCAATAACTAAAGCATAAAACTTAGTTTATAAATTTTTAAAAATTAGTTTGCAATTTTTAACCATCTGCACTGCTCCATAAAATTAAAAGATGTTAGAAAATTTAACTCATTTGCACAGTAAAACATATTTAAATAATATATCAAAAGAGTTATACACTATTCAATCATAATATTTATAAACTACCAAAAGGAATATTTTAGTGCTAAGGGTTATAGTTTTAAGAATCACTTTAAAAGCCACAATTGTGGCTGGCCACACATTAACAGAAAAGCCATGATTGTGGCTTGCCGTACTCAAATGGTTAAAATAAAAATCAATAGGGCAACATTTTTAAATACATTTATGTTAAAACACTAATAAATAAAAAAAAATGTTGATTACCTTGTATTGGTATAATAACAACAAATTGTCCACTCTTTACAATAGCACGCAAGAAAGATATGTATTTACATAAGACAGGTGTATCAAGTACAAGATAAACACTACCTGATGGTGAAGCACTACTCGAGTGTAACTGCTTCTCAAGTTCATTTACTTCATGCTAAATGTTAAATTTATATTAGTATAACAAATATTACAAAATTTTATTAAACATAATTTGATTTTTTTTTATCATTGTGAAATTATTAGAAAAAAAAATGCTTTATTGTAAATAAAAATAAAATTACAACGAAAATTTGGAAAAGCAAATCATTATTATTTTTTGTTTTACAATACCAACTTTTTTCATAGTTAAGAAGCTTTTAATCATCTAATTGAAAAAATTAACTTAAACCTGACTCTGACTCTGGTGCATGTATGTATGCATGCATGCATGCATGCATGCATGTATGTATGTATATATGTATGTATGTGTGTATGTCTCTCTCTCTCTCTCTCTCTCCCTCTCTCTCTCTTTATATATATATATATATATATATATATATATATATATATATATATATATATATATATATATATATATATATATATATATTATATATATATATATATATATATATATATATATATATATATGTATATAGTATATATATATATATATGTATATAGTAGCGCGGTTCAAAAAACAACATTTTTGAAAAATATCTGTAGGTACTACCTTAATGTGTTCTATATAATAAAATAACACTAAATTTAAAAATTTTTTGAATAAAAAATATTTTAGGGGTTGCTCAAGACTCTTAAACAACAGACAAGTCCTTAGTATTCAAAAGTATATCATGTTGGTATTTTATTAAAAACCTCTCTAAAAAAAAATTTAAAAAACAGTAAAAAAAAAAAAAACTATAACTTTTATGCAATCAAATCTAGAATAATGATTTTATATAGAATAAGTATTATTTCTTAACTTAAGATGATGATGATGATGATGATGATGATGATATATATATATATATATATATATATATATATATATATATATATATATATATATATATATATATATATATATATATATATATATATATATATATATATATATATATATATGTAGACACACACCCATATTAGTTTATTGGAAATATTCATTTCTTTAATTATAAGTTACCTTAAGTTTTTCTTTAGCAAGAACTTGCATCATATGATTTTGTTCTTCAGAACCCTAAACAAAAACACTAAAAAATCACATGTCAAGCATAAAATACACTTAGTTCCCTAATAGCTAAAATATAACTAAAACAATTAACTTAATAATTTTTGAAGTATGTTGACTAAAGGATGTTCACTGATGGTTTTGACCAAAGCATTTAAACAATAATTATTGGTTAATGCATTGGTTTATTTATTAAATTGTTAATTTAAATTCTGTCAATTAATATAATCTAATGTAAAAAAGTGAAAAAGGTTTCTCCTCACATGGATTCTTAGGATAGGCAACAATTTTAAAACAACCTTTTTTTTTGAAACAAATTTTGTTCTCAACATCTAAATTCAACAATATGCAGCATTAATTTTAAACTAGTTTAATACTACAATCTGTAAACATAAAAAAATTAAAAAAAAAAAAGAAGTAGTTTTTGTTAGCCCTCTGAATGGCTTAATAATTTTTATGCAACTTTTCATCATTTTTAGGATTAAAACTAACAGATTAGCATTAACCAGTTAACATTAGTAAATTACTAAAACTTGTAAATTAGTAAAGATTAGCATTAATAAGTTAATTTCTTTATAACTACAAATATTAATAGATTATAGGAGAACTAAATCTAAAGTTAAAGTAAAATAAAATAATAATAAGAACATTAAAAAAAAAAAAAAAATCAAAAAAGAGATCGCCTCTAGGAGTAAATGCAAAATTTTGTAAGAAAATTTAAAAAAACAACTTGATTTAAAAATATCAATTAAATTTACCAATTTCTTTTTCTTATTTCTCAGTGGTTTTGTAACAACTGAGGGTTTCTCATTTGGCGAAGAAAGTACAACAGCAAACTTATTTTCAGCTGCATTCCATGTGAAGCAAGGAACATCCTAAAAATAATATATATATATATATTAATATATATAATATATATATATATATATATATATATATATATATATATATATATATATATATATATATATATATATATATATATATATATATATATACATACTATATATACAGAGTGTATACTTAATTTCTGACCCCCCCCCCCCACATGTTACAAACACAAGATTTTGAGTTGCTCTCTTAAATGCTACTTTAGCCCGAAAAATACTATAGTATGTATTTTGGTGTAACTATACTTTCTGCACATAAAACGCTCACTTCAGATAGGATATGACCTCAGAAAATGTTTATGGGAGCCATTTTGTCAACATACATAAAAATGATATTTTCATTCTCCTTGTCTTCCACGGCCTTTGGCATTATGACTATAGTTTTAGCACGATTTTTAAGTAAATTGTCCTTATTACTCCTTAATATGTGATCTTAGTTTGCCAATTAATAACACATTTTTTCTTCACTGTTTATGACGTATTGTTACTCTTCGAAACCGGGGTCAGAAATTAAGTTTACACATTTTTATTGTTTAGCATTTTGGCTACAAGAAATAATCAGCATTATTTTTATTTGCCTTATTTATATCAGTGATACTTGGTGTCTGTTTATGATTTACATTAATTACTGTATGTATTTATATGTATTATATGTATATGTTACTAACATGTATTTATGTTTTTTAGCAATTTACTCTGAAAATGAGTTCTGATAAACAGTTACTTCGTCAACAAATTCAAGTTTTATGTAGTCAAGGATTAAGCATTAAAGAAATCACTAGACAGTGTAAAGTTTCTCAAAATACTGTAAGGAAGTGGGCAAGAAAACAAGAGGGTGATGTCACAGATGCCCAGCGACCTGGAAAGCCAACAACGTTTTCACCAAGAACCAAGGATAAGGTCAGAAAGTGGGTCAAAGACAAAGTCGGAGTTGGAACGAGAACTGTAGCTAAGAAACTGATTTTTTCAGACAGTTACAGAGAAAGAGGAAAAACAATTTCACATAGTGCTATCAGTAAATACTTGCGCAAGACCACATGAGGAAAGCATGCCTATACACAGAAAGTGAAACCCATGTTGTCGCAGAAAAACATCACTGATCGCATAAATTTTTGTACTCATTTGCAAGAAGAGGGATTCGCAGATGACTCACCAGATGGTAAAGTGAAACGAGCTCACGTATTGTGGACTGATGAGAGTCCAATTGAATTATATCCGGCTCCAAACTGTCAAAATCAAAGAGTACGTACAGCAACACCAGAGTCAATACCTTATGTTCAATATCCGAAATTCGGTCTCAAGATTATGATAGCCGGCGGCATTTCTCGATATGGCAAAACTGATCTGGTTGTTGTTGAGCAAAATAAAACTGTTGATGGACAATATTACCGTGATATTATTCTACCTGTGTACAAACATGCAGCTGATGATAAGACCATCTTTCCTGTGAGAAATAAAGTTATTCTGATGCAAGATGGAGCAACTTGCCACACGGCAAGAGCAACAATGAATGTGATCAACAGAGACTTTCCAGCAGTGTGGACCGACTGGCCTGGCAACTTGCCCGACTTAAATGTCATCGAACATATTTGGTCAAGACTCCAGGACAGTGTTTTACACAATCCTCGACCTCGTAATCGTGAACAGTTGATCAGACGTATTGAACAGGAATGGGCTGCCATTACGCAAGAAGAGTGTTTTCGCCTAGTAGAAAGCCTGCCAAGGAGAATTACCCAATGCATAGAAAGAAATGGACAAAATACTGATTACTGACTATTAACATATATTCTTTGTCTAATTAAATTGATATGACAGTAATAAAATGGTATGTGTTGAAATACCGTATTCTTAAACCGAGATATAGGGGGTCAGAAATTAAGTATACACCCTGTATATATATACTATATATATACTATATATATACATATATACTATATATATACATATATACTATATATATACATATATACTATATATATACATATATACTATATATATACATATATACTATATATATACATATATACTATATATATACATATATACTATATATATACATATATACTATATATATATGTGTATATATATATATATATATATATATATATATATATATATATATATATATATATATATATATATATATATATATATATATATATATATATATATATATATATATATATATATATATATATATATTAGAGTATTCCAAAAAAAATGACTTTTTTGAATTTCAACTAACATTGCTTTTCATAAGGTGCCCCAACCTTGATATTACTAATAAAACTTTTTTTTTCATGATTAGATCGCTCCATGACTTCGATCAATGGATCCAAAGGTCATTATTTGTCTGTATTTTGCCCACATTTTGGACTGAGGGAGTGTTACCATTATCCAAATTAATTTTTATTTCTTTTTTATTGTTGTTTTATTTAAAAAAAAAATAAAAACAGAATGTTTAGCTTAATTTGTTTTTTTATTTGAACAATGAAGATCAAAAAATTCAAAAATATTGATTTATTTTACTATATTTTCTTTTACTACTTTTGTCTTATGTACCATTTTAATGTGTTTTCAGTTATATTTTAAATACACATATACTTGCTTCTTTTTGTGAACAATTATATTTTATGTAAGCAATTTGATTTTTAACTTATTTTATATATTGGTTATCATTAATCTTTTTAGTAATTAATTAACTTAGTAATAAAATGCCACCAAAAAAAAAGTTGAATCTTGAAATAAGGTTGAAGTATTTCTAGTAAAGAAAGTTAGAGAAAATCTTTCATGTTCTAAACTTCCTACAGGCATAGAGGTTTTGCAATACTACCTATATCTAAGAAACTTGAATCCCAAAGTAAAGAAAACAGTTTTAATTAGGTGTCATTTCGAAAATAATTCATTTAAGCTCAGATGCCCTCCACAAGCTGAATGTTGTGTGATGTCTAAATTGGTAAGGCCATGGAATCTTGCAGGATTCCTTATCACAACCTTGGAAAATATGGTAAATAACTATTACCAGTTAAAGAAGAATAGCAAAACGAACAGGCCAACAGATACAAAAAGGAATAAGGAATTTTTGGAAGAAATGTTAAAATGCTTTTGGATTAGTAAAAAAAAAAAGGAGAACTAATTGAAGATATTATGAAATACAGGAGAAGGACATCCAAAGCCAAAAATGAAGGTATTGCGATTATCTTGGACCAACTTGGAAATAGGATAAGAAGAATAGGAACAAATGATAAAAGGTTTATGTACACTATTAAGAAATCCCACAAAAAATTGTGTTCCATGGTAAACATGGAAATTAAACTAAACAATGGTAGCAATCTATATGGTTTAGAAAACTCTTCAAGTAGTGATAATAATTCTGACTGTGAATATGTAGCAGATATAAAAAAAGAACAATCTGCCTCTGTTGATTTGTTAAGGCGGATTTCCACTTACAGGAAATTTTCCGCGGAACAGAAAGGAAAAGAAAACCATCCAATCATGAAACATAAAAAGTGCGTATCTAAAATTTTTTTGTTACATGATTGGATGATTTTCTTTTTCTTTCCGTTTCGCGGAAAATTTCCTGTGAGTGGAAATCCGCCTTTACCAAAAAACATTAAAAAAAAACTGCTCTCACAGCAATAGGTGAGGGACTTTCAGTTAGACAACACACTGCAATAGTGGCAAGTGTTATTGCTAATTCAGGAGGTGATGTTACTAATTTTGCAATATCTTCTTCAACTGCATTTAGAGTTGCAGAGAAAGTTGTAACTAAAGGAGAAAAGATTAAAAAACACATTACTGATCTTGTTAAATCTTCATCATTACTTGTTATACTCCATTTTGATGGAAAAATAGTTAAGGAGTTCACAAACGGAATAGAACATCAACTTGACAGACTTGCTGTTTCCATCAGGTTAGATGGACAGAGTAAGCTTCTTGGGATTCCTCATTTGAACTCTTGTACTGGAGAAACACAGAATACATTCATAAAACTTCATCAATTTGATATTTTGATAAATAAAATAAAAAAGGATGCGTTTTTGATACAACCTCTGTAAATACTGGTAAAAAAAAGGGTGTGTACATTAGATTAGCTGCAGAGCTTGATAGACCTCTACTTCTCCTAGCAAGTAGGCATCACATCTATGAAAGGCATATTACTCACTGCTAGAACATTTATCCAAGTAGTAAAACAAATGGCCCAAATAATCCATTGTTTAAGAAGCTTAAAGATGTATGGAACTCAATTGATCAAAATTCCATTGTGTTAAACAAAGTAAAAATTGAAGATATTTCTAATAGCTGGCCGCAGGCACAGTTCAAGAAAGCCTTATCTTTTTCTCAAAATACTATCAGAATGAAAATGATGAAAAAGGAATTTAAAGTTTTGAATAAATTGAATACTCTGTAATAAAATAAGTTTAGTAAGTTACTGTTAGTCTTATTTAGGATGGATGCAGATCTGATTATCTAGAGTTAGTCAAATTGACAACAATGGTTTTATCTGGTGATGAACAGTACAGACTAAGAAAACCTGGGCCTGTACACTATGCCAGATTTATGGCAAAGGGAATATACTTTCCGAAAATGTATCTCCTTTTAGACAACATTTCTAGCTTGACAGATTTCAAGAAGAAATAAATAGATAATATGGCATTCTTCACATCTTTATTTTATACTGAGTGGTTTATAAAGGCTGAAATTCTGGCTGTCGCTCCATATCAGGTGACATTTCTATGTTTTAAAAGTTTTTAATCATTTTGGTTTTATTACTTTTTTTTCTTTGAAAACTTTGTGTAATATTTAATAGTTCAAAAATCTTTAGGATATGAAAGTTCTTTGGCAAATGGCGAGATACTCAAAAATCTATCCTGTCCAGGCAAAACCTGTTATAGAGTCTCTTAAGAGACACACCTGGTACATAAACCCAAATATTTTAGTTAGGTCTCTTGTTGACAAAAATGTACTAGAACGGGGTGACATTGCCAAGAAGTTGTACTCAACCCTAAGACCTACAACTTATGCCATAGAAAGACATTAAGTTAATTTAGATATACTAAACTCCCTTATGTTTAATGATGATAATCCCCCAAATTTGACCCCGTATATAACTGATCAGAGTTGGTTAATTTTTTATATCTTAAACCATGCAAATGCTGAAGTACAGTGGCTTAAGACTCCATCTGAGACATGGGATCTAAATGACTTTTACCTAGAATTCAAACAATTTGTGAATAATCTTGAAGTAGTAAATGATTGTAGTGAGAGGGCTATAAAACTAGTTCAGGTATCTATTTATGTTTGGTCCTTACTGTTTATGTTAAAAATCTCAATTTATTTCACGAGCTCATTACTTTTAAATAGTCTTTAATAGGAGTTGATCAATAAATTGCACAATGAGGACAAAAGACAAAGTACCTTCTTCGTATCAAACAAATATAATATAAAGAACAAAAAAAAAATCTGATTATGTAAAGAATTCTTTGTTTACAGAATAAATTTATAAACATGAACTATGTTTGACAACTAATTACTTCAGAAACTATTCATAAATTTGATTTTATTATTATATAAATATTTTAATGTGTAAAGTATCTTGTTAACAAGCAGAACACTAATATAGTGCAAAAAAGCTTAAAAATGCCTTTTTTAAATTTTTTGATTTTGAAATTGTTCAAGTAAAAAAAAAATTAAGCTTAACATTTTATTTCTATTTTCTTCAAAAAGATAAAACAATAAAAAAAAAAAAAATGAATTTGGATAATAGTAACACTCCTCTCAGTCTGAAATGTGGGCAAAAAATGGGCAAAAAATGACCTTTGGACCCGTTGAGGGAAGTCATGTTGTGATCTAATCATGAAAAAAAAAATTTATTAGTAATATCAAGGTTGGGGCACCTTATGAAAAGCAGTGTTAGTTGAAATTACACGTTCTCAACTACCTTTATAAGGAATACCATCCAGGAATGAGAGAAAACAAGTTTTGTTTTCACAAAACAAAACTTGCTTTCTCTCGAGTGTTCACAATCCAGTGTTTTCAATCAAGTGCTCACAATCATGTGTTTAAAACCAAGTGTTTTTAATAAAGTCTTTACAATATTGCTGATGTTTAGCGATATTGTCAACACTTGAAAGAAAAAAGATTTCTGATGAGTTTTTGTTGATGAAACACAGTGTAAAATGAAAAAAAAAATTTTGTTAAGTGATTTTTTACTAATTTATAATTGCTCTGTTCTTTTAAGAACATTGAGCACTCTATTTTGTAGAATACATTTTTTAAAATTGTTTATATATATATATATATATATATATATATATATATATATATATATATATATATATATATATATATATATATATATATATAAATTTTTTAGTATTACTTTGTGTAGAAGCCAGCCAAAATCATGACACAATTATACATATTTTGTGATTATTAGAGCTCGCAGACAGAGAAAAAATCAGTATGGGAGTATGATATATATATATATATATATATATATATATATATATATATATATATATATATATATATATATATATATATATATATATATATATATGTCTTTGGTATAGTAGCTGTTTGGTTGTGTAACTATTTATTCTATTTGTAATGTTTTTCTTTTAAAACTCTCTCTCTATTTTATTAAAAATATAAACCCAAAACGTTTTGGGTTGTCTGCAAAATATGTACGATCAAACATATAAAATATAATATTATATTATTATTATTACTATCATATATATATATATATATATATATATATATATATATATATATATATATATATATATATATATATATATATATATATATATATATATATATATATATATATATATATATATATATATATATATATATATATATATATATATATATATATATACACATACATATATACACACACAGTGCTAGAAGTGAGGCAGGATGTCATCCTGTCACCTTTTTATAAAGTAATAAAGTATAAACCATCCCGCCACCTTTTTATAAATCTCAATATACAGAATACCATCCCGTTACCTTTTTTTCTCCACTTCGAGCACTGTGTGTGTGTATATATATATATATATATATATATATATATATATATATATATATATATATATATATATATATGCTGTGCCCCCTGTGATGGCGCATGCCATAATTTTTTATTTATTACTGAAACATTGCTCAATAAAAGCATTTTTCTGAAAAAATATAAACAACAAATTAAACAAAATCAGCTACAATTATTAAACATAGCTGCATAAAATTTTTTTATTCACCTGACTTTTAGCAACAAAATATCCAAACTTTCTCAAATATGTTACACGCAAAGCAAACTATAACAAAAATAGCAATTAAATTCAAAATAGCAAAAAAATAAACAACAAAAATTGAATCACTAAACAATTGAATTTGTAATTAGTTTGGATTATGCTGGTACATCAGTAGTAATAATGTTAATTGTATTAACAGTAATGTTGGTAATGTTGGTAAAAATACATATGCTTATATACTTAATGTTCTAGGCAAACATACAGTTTTAAAAATCAATTTGTAAAATATGTTTTAAATCAAGATTGTTAGCAAAAAAAATGTTCTCAATAAAGTTAAGGTTCATAAAATAAACTATTTTAGAGTATTACTCTACTATCATTTGTGTTTTATTTTTAGCATGTTTTATTATAAAATCTTTTTGATACTAATACTCAATTGTGTTTTATTTTTAGCATATTTTATCATAAAATCTTTTTGATACTAATAATGGATTGAGGAAGCCCAAAAGAGATTAAAATATTCATTATCTCAATACTGTAATTTAATAGTAATTAATAGTTGTCTTATGTCATTTTAAAGTAGTTTCTTGGCTTTTCTATACGCGGTTCTACATTCCACGCTGTCTTTCAAGCAAGGTCTGCAAGCAAATTAAAGCTGATAAATTTTTAGTTTCAAGAAGAATTGATGTTGTCCATTGTTTTAAAACTAAAATAAAAATTTAAATAATCGTTTGTTTGTTGTTGGTTGTTTTTATTTTTCTAATTTTTATAGCCTGTTTTCTTTTTTTAGAAGAAGTTAAAGCTAAAAGTGTTTCAGTTTTGTCTTTAGTCTTTTTAAAACACCTTAAGCAGGTATTGTTTTTAGAGCAGTTAGAAGGAGCTGAAGGCCTTTTTCAAAAGTTTAATTAGAATAAGTTAAAGCTGAAGGCCTTTTAAGTAAAATAAGACTGTTATTTGTGGACATGTAAGTTTATATACATAAATTTGCGTATATTTCAGTTTATTTTATATTTCTCTATATCTGTATATTTTCTCTAAGAAAAAATAATAAAGAAAGCACAAAGTAAAAAAAAATTCTGCTGGAAGTTGTCAAAAGAATGTTGTGTTATGCTTTATTTTAAGGTATCTAAATATATATTTATTAGAAATTTTTTATTTTGTTCTTAAATGGTTTAATCTTTTTTTATTAAGTTAGATAAATATATGCTGACTGACATAACTTCATTTTTATTAACAATATTGTGCATTGTAGTCTGCATTCTTTGTTACATTAAAAATAATTGATACTAATAAATGCTGTTTTATATAATAAATAAATTTAAGTTCATTTCATAAACAGTTTCTATTTTTTTTATTTAGTAAATTTATATATACTTTATTTATATATATATTTATATAAACTTATAAAAAGATATGGATTTCAATAAATCTTAAATTAAATTGTTTTAGGTTTTTATTTAAAAAGTCATTTTGAATAAAATTATTTTAATTTTTTTATTAATTTTTGACCTCAATGGTAAACCAACCAGTGGTTAAATTAATGAGTCAAATTGTAGAGGTATATATATTGTATATATTCTAAAGTAATTGCATTTGATTTTTTTTTAATATATTGCTTTACATAAAGCATTTTGATTTTTTGATTTTTGCTCTTTTTATATTGTTTTAAGGTGGTCCTATACTATATATACTATATAGATCATTAAAGGAAGCGAATTTAAAAATGCTCTAAAATAGCAAGTTTCATAGTGAAGTTAAATAATTTTCTTAGCAACGGCCTTAGAAACGGGTTGTTAATATTAGAAAATAGGTGTTTTAGAGTGTTGCGCCATTTACTATAAGTTTTGGACATTAGTGCCAGTAACTGTTTCATGTTTATTTATCTAATTAAGCCATGATTTTTAATTACAATTACTATGTTTACATATATTACTTATAGAAAAACTATCAGCTTCGTGTTATACTTTATTTGCCTTGTGCTTATTTTTGTTATGGGAAAAATTAAATGTGATTCAAATTTAAGAAGAAAAGCAGGTGGTAACAGGACAAAAAAAAAATACTTTTGAGGAAATCAATTTTCTTCAGCATCAATCAGCATTAATTTAACTTCTCAATCGGAAATCATTAACTCAACTCAATCAAAAATTTTGACATAAACATCTTCAAAAAAGTTATCACATAGCAGTAAAAATAGTAATGCAAAAATTAATGATTCAAATATATTGCCTTCATGTTTTATACTTATTGACGCAGACATTTTAAAATCAATTGTTACTTTGATTGGACATTGTCCTCAATGCCATAACAATTCAATTAAAATCTCAACTGATTTATCAAAAAAGAAAGGCTTGGCAATGTTTTTAAACATTTCTTGTGCAACATCTTTGTGCGATTGGAAACAGTCTTTTTATTCTAGCAAAGAGATTAAAAAGCAAGGTCCAGGAATGTCACCATTTGAAATAAATTATAGATCTGTTGTTAAAATGAGAGAGATAGGAAAAGGTCATTCTGGTTTGGAGAAATTTTGTGGTTTAATGAACTTACCTTCTCTAATGAACATAAAAGCATTTAATGATGTTCAAGATAAAATTCATATCATATACTAAAGTGTAGCTGATGTGAAAATAAAAAATGCAGCAAATGAATTTTGATATCTTAACAATGATATCCAACCAAATGATTTTGATATTAATGTAATAGCTGATGTTGTTGTTTCCTGTGATGGAAATTAGCAAAAAAGGGGTCATTCCTCACTTAATGGCGTTGTTACTGTTTTTGCTAGTGACTCAGGGAAATGTGCTGACTATCGAGTTCTTTCAAAAATATGCAATGCCTGTACATCATGGGAATCAAAAAAAAGATAGCGATCCAGAACTTTATGAAATTTTTTTGGAAACCCATGATTGTTTAAATAATCACAAAGGTTCTGCTGGATCTATGGAAGTTTCTGAAATTGTAGATTGTTTTATGAAATCTATAGACAAAAGGGGAGTTCAATATACTAATTACATTGGAGTCGGGGATTCCAAAGCACATGATACCTGGTGTACCTCACCAGGTACATTTGCTACTCAGTACTGTACCACAATAGACCAAGAAAGAATAAAGATGATGGAAAAAAAGTTGCTTGACTCAATAAAACAAAGAAGAAAGCTGCTTTGCGCTGAATGAAAAGGTTTTACAGATATAGTAAATGAAAGTGAAGGTGCATCTTATGAAGCAGAAGTTTTTTAGACAATTATTTAAAATTTAATTTCTTTTTTTTTTTTTTTAATAATGGCAAATTATCAAAGTTGTTTATTTTATTTTTATGTTCACTTAAAATAATAGCAAATAATAATTTTCTAGAAAAGATCATAATTCTTAAGATTCTTTTGCATTTATTTGTTATCAAAGTAATAAATGTCTAAAATACTACAGTTAATGTGTTTATTGATAATAGTGAAATTGAAATGGATAATATTAGGCTTAAAAAAATTATTAGAAGAAATTCTATCAACTTAGAAATAATTGATACTTTAGTGAAATGGTTAGAACTAGGCAAGCTGAAATTAACTGTCGTCAAAATGCAAGAAATGCTGCTTGGCAAGAAGAAATTAATTTAACCCAAATTAGAACATCATGATTAGGCGGATTTGATGGAACACATTTTTTATGTTGCCATAATGGGTAGGTAGTTTTGTTTATTTTCATTATTTGCGCAAGCTTTACAAGATTTACTGGTTAGTTATATATACGATAATTCCAATATCAATTTTTTAAAATATATTAGAATTTAAAATGCCTGTTTTTATTTTGCTTTATTTACAGATGTGGTTTAACCTATGAATCATAGGTTGCCATGTTTTAAAACATGTGGTCAAGTTTTTCTATTGTGTAGGTAATCTTATGCCAGATCAAGATATTCCCCCAACATTATCAACTGTATTTCTTCGACCCACTTGCAACAGTAAATTTTAGAAAACAATAACATAGCTTTAATAACTAACAACTTTGTTTACATAATTTAATGATTTACTGCAAAATATAGTTAGTGAAGTTGCAGTTGTGTTTGTTGGAGAAGATGGTGTTCCACCTGCTTCCAGGGAAGTTATTTACCCAAAAAGTTATTTAGAAATTATATTATGTCAGCTAACTTAGATCCTTCGGTTTATTCACTTTTTTTTCTCCAAGAGGAGATGGCAAAATTTGTGCACAACCCTAAAGATCCAATATTGGTTAGAAATCATGTTAAATTATCTCAGTTTTACAACTATGGTCTTTCAGTAAGACAAACCTTTTGTTCAATAATTTATGGCAAGAAACTATTTCAACAATATGCTGCTGATGCATATGTTAAAATTGAAGAGCAGTGTCTTGCTTTCACAGAAATAACTAAAGCAAATTGAGAAGCATACAATATGATGCCTTACATGAAGATGTAAGCAACCTCGGTAACAATCATAATGTTAGACCTGGGTGCACTATAGGTTTTTTACTTAGAAAGTCTTAAAAAAACTATGAAAATGCTATGGCTATAATTAAAAAGTTAAAGTAATAAAAAGATCTGGTAAACCAAATCTTTTTATTACTTTTGCCTGCAACCCAATATAGTAGTGTATGGAAAAAAAAAGTACACGCATTTATTTTCAAATGTTATTAATTAATAGTTTATGATAAGTATGTTTTCAAGTCTGATAAAGTAAATGTTAATAGTTTATAAAATATAATATGTTCTAAGTTTATATATTTTAATATTCTGTTTTTTTTATGTTTTGAAAGTGGTGTTACTTAGCAGTATGTAAAGCAAGATTGTTATCCTTGCCAAAGTTGTGGTATTACTTGGCACAATATAGAGTGCTGGGTGGTTTTAATTTCTGTTAATTAATTTTTACTCTTCAAAGTTACCAATTATAATTATTTGAACCCATCAGGTTCTAATATTTATATTTTAATTGAAACTCAACCTTACATATATCAGCCTTTCACAGGAAGACGTGCGATGGCACACAATTATATGACCACGGCTTTGACATTTTCAAGATTTAAAATTGCGCTACAAAAACTTATTTAAACTTATCTTTAAAAAAAATAAAAATACTTAACTAAAGAAAACACACACACAAAAAAAATAATAATAAAATAAAAAAAATAAAAATAAAATTGTTAATTCATTCAAAAGCATTTTGATAATATAAAAGCATTTAAGATCAAACTTATTTAATTGTAACGACTTTCTAAAACATTTGTCTTTTTTTTTTCCTTCGACCAAATTTGGTTTATCTTTACAAATGTATTAACTTTAATTATTCTTATATTAAAATTCGTTAAAGAGACTTTCTTTGTCGTAGAATGTCTGTAGAATGTCAATGTAAAAATTTATATATAATAATAAAATTTAAAAATTAAATATAATAATAAATAAATATAAATAAAATTTAATAAAAATTAAATATAATAATGCTGTTTTATATATAATAAAACAGCAATTATGAAACCTTTAGTCATTGTTTAAAAAAACAAAACAATTTTTTATTGTTTAATGTTTATTATAAAAACTGCACACTTAAACAATTTATATATTATAAATTAAAAAAATATATGCAACTATCAATTATACTTTAAAAAAAAACAACATTATTAGTAAATTGTTACTTTATTTAAAAGCATTTTGTTAATATAAAAACATTTGTTCAAAATTTTGATGTAATTTATTTCACTCAAGGTATATTTCAGAATATTTTTTATTCAGCGCCTTTTTAAAATGTTTTTTGAAATAGCTGCGGTCAAAGCAAAATGTAATTTTCTCTAGTCATAGAAAGACGTGCGATTGCATGTGCATCTTCCTGTAAAAGACTGTATATCTACGTTTTATTATACTCAACTTTTTGTTTCTCATTACTTTCAGATATTCTACAATATGATAAGTTAAAGATTCTAACTTAGTTTTTATGACTGTAATTAATTAGACTATTATCAGATTTGTTATATATATTTTAGTTCCAATATTATTCCAATATTCACTAGATTTTTTTATAAATCAAATTTTATTAAATTTTCATATAACTGATTATAATTATCCTAAATAGAAATGATTTTATATATTTTTTTTGAAGTTCAAATATAATTGTATTTTTTTTTTAGTTTCATTGCTTTATTAGTTTGCTTATTGTGGAAACATGGTTATAATTTAGTAATTTTATATGATATGAAATTTACTGAGTTAATCATTATTCACAGTTATGAAGAAATTGGAATTCGAAACTATTAAAGTAAAAATAGTTTTGTTTAGTGGTAACATTAAAAGGCCTTTTAATGGTAAATTATGCTATAGCTATTTTGTGCTAATATCTATTTTTTTGTCATTGTCATTAAAAACAATAAGTTAAGTTATAAATATAATAATTTATTGTAACTTTTTTAACACAGTGCCTTTAAAACACAGATGTCTTCTCTCTGTTTAATGAAAGTTTATTAATAAAGGAGAGCATTATTGGAACACTCTGTTATTACTAAGCTCTTATGTATTTTTTGGTACCATAATTGATAATGACCATGTTTAAGAAATGTTTTATGAGTCACTAACTTATGAACATAATAACAAATATGTAAAATAATGCTTTTATAGTTTATGATGATCTTTTTTTTTTAGTTATTGGTAAGTTGTACTTGGTTTTCCTTCTCTGGTGCTTGCTGATATTAAAAAGAACTTAACATCTTAAGTAACATGGTCTTTACTAAATGCCAAAACCAATAAAAGCGAGAAAAACCAAAAAGATTATATTATATAAATAAGGCTGCCATTGTCCCGATTTTCAACAAAGGAGAGCACAACACTAAACTAAATAAAACTTTTATAGTGTTCTTTAGCAGAAAAACATGGACAATGGCAACCCTATATATAGATTAATTTCTATTTTATATTTTTCAGATAATATACCAAGTTAAGTTGTTATTTATTTATTACTAACCCGCATTACGAGTTGTTTATTACTAGTTTTATAGTGTTATATAATAAAACAGCAATTATGAAACTTTTAGTGTGATTTTCGGATTCAACAATGCAATAAAAACCTTCAGTTAGTCCAAGATAAAAAGTATATCATTTTCTTTTTTTAAAATAATTCTGTAACCATCACTAAAAATTAAAAACAAATCAAAATGCTAACCAGTTATAGTTTTTAATTTTGTGAACCACCGACATAAAAAAAAAGCAAAAAACAGAAAATATTGATCCTTATTAAAAAGTAGTTTAGGGATCACCTTATTATTTTTATTAAAAGAAAATTTTTTTTAGGTCCAACACTTATTTACAACTGTATATGTTAAAATTTTACTTGATAAAGATTTGAGTGGTTCAATCCACAAAACCACATGATATCCAAATTTTTGTGAATATCTCCAAAACCAGGTGCACCGAAGACAGTAATGTCTTCAGGTAAAGCTCGTTGTTGCACATCACTTGATTCAACTTCAATCTCTTTTTTTAACCAGGTAGGAACTCTCCGTCGAGAACTGAAGTAAAATACTATAAAAAAAAAAATTAAGAGAATACAACAATTTAAAACAACTTAAAAATTAACTTAAGCAAAAATGAACAGAACTTGTCCTGGCACTTGGGGATCGCTTTAAACATATTTTAACCAACTAAAAATGTTAAAACAAATCATGAAACTTTACGTATTAAAAAAATAAATTTCAGCAACTAATCATTGACATTTTTTAAAATACTATTGTTAGCAATAATAAGATCCATAATAAAAATAATTATTGAACCAAACTAATCCTTAATAAAACTATCAAGAAAAACTTATACAGTACAATCTCTCTAATTCGAATCTCCATAATTCGAATAAATGCAAAGTCACAGTGTAATGCACCTAATAAGTTATTACTTTTAACTTTCTTTAATTCGAACTCTAATTTGAAAACTTTCACAGCTCAAATGGATTTTTCAGACCCATTGGTAAGATTCTCTCTGTAAATCTAACTTTTTAATTTCTGAGTGTAAAAAGCTCTATAAACTGTCAAACTCTTTTTTCAAATTTCGAATGTTTTGAGTTTTTGAAAAGATTAGTGTGAATTATTTTCTTCTGTTTAAAAAAAAAGAAAGGCATCATAGAAACTGCATAAAGAAAATAATTTATAGCGGAAATATGAAGCTCTACTGGAATTTGAGAAAAAAACAACAACAAAAACAAAGAGGCTTCGAAAATTTTTGATATTCCACCAAACACTCTTTCAAAGTTTCCATATTGATATTCCACCAAACACTCTTTCAAAAGTTTACATTTAAAAAATGAAAAGTGCATAGGAGGCAAGCATAGTAAAGATGTTTCAAAGGTGTGAAAAATATACCTTGTCGCTATCAGGCTTAACCAAAAAGTTGGATGGTGTCAGAACTATTCGAGGAATGGGTTAAAAAAATTGACCTAAAGTAAAGTTAAATCGCTTTAACTATAGATAATTGTTCTGTCCATCCTTACGTGCAGAAACTTGATTGGGTGGAGCTTATCTTTCTTCCACCAAATACAACCTCGATCACCTAACCAATGGATTATGGAATTATCCGATCTCTTGAAGCAAAATATTGCTCACTTGCAGTGAAAATGCAGATTGCTGCCTTTTCAGGAATCAGGAATAATATTAGAAGCAGTAGAAAAGCATATAAATGATAATAATAATCTTTTCAGTGGCTAAGATGTAGAGGATTTGTAATGAAAAACTTAAATGATGATCTTAAATTGTTAAAAGCAAAATTTAATGCAGATTTTTAACCTTACAACCAACGAGTTAGTAGACATAGATTTAAATAATTGCATTGGAAACAAATCATCAGATTAGGACATCATTGCAGAAGTTTCTGGAAATATGCTATTGAAGCTGAAGAGGAAACCAATGATGAGCATCTTGATGTTTCCGACAATGCTACAAAACCAAGTATGAACGAAGCAATGCAAAAAAAACAACAACTTTAAAACAACGACTTTTAATGAACTAGAATTAAAGTTAAATTTAATAAAATGCAAATATAGATTTAAAAAATAGTTCCAAATCACAATCCCAAATATGTAAGTTAAGGTAGTGTTTAGAACAGGGTTGTTAACCGGAGAATTTTGTGCAATTCTGGAAAAACAACATTTTTTCGCAAGGAGATTGAGAACGAGGAATTACATTTTTTTGTACCGAATGTTACAAAACATTTAAAATTGCCGATGTTCATTTTGCAAAAGCTACTTCCGAAATTTAGCATTTCGCAAGTTGACATACAAAACAAAACTATTTTGCAACATACGGAAGTAGCGGTTTCGGAAGTCGCACTTGCGAAACAAACATTTTTGCCAAATGACGTTTTGAAGTCTATAAAGAAAATTTGTTTGCCGGACTGATTTTAATTGTAAAATTTAACATCTTTAAATCCCAAAATGTTTATAATGAATTTTTATTTTCAGTATAATAACATATTAAATTTTTATGGTTTTATTTTTAGAAATATTGATAAAAAATAAATTTCCTTTCGAAACGAAAGTATTTCGCATCACAACATACGAAAGAATTCTTAACGGAAATAAACTTACAAAACGTGCTATGATAAATATATATAACGATATTTTTTGAACTTATTACGTATAGTAAAAATAAGAATGATGGGTAGAAATATACATGTTTTTTTTAAAGCATATGAAATTTTTGAAACAGGTTCGAATATGCTTAAGCAAATAGTAAAAAGAGGCTCAAAAATATGCTTTAGCTTAAGCATATTTCTGATGAAATATACCTATTTCAATAATTTCTAAAAGTGCACGTTACTAAAGTTCGAGCAGATTTTAAAGGTATGTAGAGTCCTGTTTGAATACGCTTTTTGAAGTATAGACCTTTGAAAATATTGCTTTTTAATTTTAATAAGATATAAATTTAAGTATAAGATCGTATAGCTCAATCAGTTAGATACGTGATAATTCGCCACAGAGATCCGGGTTCGCATCCTGCTGCCATCGCGACTTTTGTTCATCAAACTCTTTTTACTTAAGAGAGCATTTTTTGACCTCCATGTTCTATATTACAGATCTTTCGTCACCTACATAATAGTGACAACCTCTCTTCTGTTAGTTATTCTTTTAAGATCGAGTTCATAGTGCTTAATTCTACGCGCTTCCTTTACTTTACTAAGTTCTACTTAAATTATGATGAAATGTACGTAAAACAACTTTTTCAAATAATATAAATCATTTAGCTTTAAACCTTGTGCTTTTTGTACTAGACATCTGTCCTAAACACTTTGTAATAATTTCTAGCTAACTCTGAGTCTAATATAATCATTTCTGAATACAATTTCCCTGAGGCTTCTACAGCATATTGTGTTCCATTAAAAGTAACTAGTTTTCGAGTCCAGATATGAATTATAAGCAACTAAAGGTTCACATTACTATTCATTTTCCTGATATATATAATCCTATTTGCATACGTATCTCTTTCTGTAAATTCTGTTTTATATAGTTTCTTAATTATATAACAAATAAATATTACTATTCACTTAGTTAAATGAACATATAGCTCATTCAGTTAAGACATAACATTTGGCCGTGGAGACCCAGGTTCACATCCCACTGTTTCACATATATTTCTTCTCTTTTTATTCTTTCTGATATCATTTACCTTTTACCTAGAGAGATCTCTCATTCTTTATAATAAAGTATTTAATTGTTTATCACACATCCTCTTTATACTTTCTAAAAAGAAAGGCATACTATTTATCTGTTCATTAAGAGTCCAACTTAACGGGATTTTACTGTATATATATGTGTATATACATTGTATGATTGTCAAATGATTCATACAATGTATAAACATTGGAAGAATCATTTGACAACAATTTTTTATAATTTTATTATTTATTATTTAAACTGTTAATATCTTAAATATATCGCAACATAAAATCTTTTGCGTCTTTTTCGTAACTGCACATTCCGGAATGCTTCTTCTGTAAGGAACTATTTCGTAAGTATTCTTACGAAATGATTTGTTTTGCAAGTTTTCTTTTGCAATGCTTTATTACGGAATTTTATTTATTTATATTTTCGTATAGTGCGTTACGGAATGTGCATTTTCGCATGTGCAACTTCTGCAATAACAATTCTATTATGGTAGATAAAGATGCAAAACTTTCTCAAGTTTTGTTTTTCAGCGAACAACCCTAGTTTAGAATTGACTCCACTTAACCAAGGAAGTTGAGTCTAAACAACTATTCTATTGACAAATGACTTAATAAAAACAACCTAAATATGAACTTAAATATTATTAAGATGAAACTGAATTTATGGCTTTTGGTTCAGGCAATAAACTCAACCACATAAATTATGAGTCAATCAAACAAAACTAAATTAACCTGAAATAAACAATTACCTTGGTATTACCCTTGACAAAAATCTAACACACACCAAATAAAAAAAAAATTATTTAAACAAATAATTATCTATATACCATCTTTAGAAGAAGAAAAATTCAAATTTAAGACAGTACACACAATCTAAATCAGGCTTGGTCAGGAAGCGGGAGCGATCGCTCTCGATTGCTGACCACGTAAATAATATTTAGTTGCGAAAAGCTGGCCAGATTTTTTAGTCGTTTTGAGAACATTTTAACAAGCAAAAAAAAAAAAGCGCTTAAGATTAATTGGACCAATGAGAGACAATTACAAAAAAATTTTTAAAAATTAAACGATGTTTTTTTATGTAAAGTAACATCTTACGATTGTTTAAAAAGGAAACAAATATTCTTTATTAAACAAAGTTTGCAAGTTTTAGTTTTATTTAAGCTAATTATTTTATAAATAAAAAAGCTAATTTTTATTAATACCTATTTTATGTTTCGCGTAGTTTGAAAAGTTTAACATATTTGAAGCAATTCTTCTTAGTAAGATAAACAAATGAAATAATTAAATCATTGAATTACTATAGACATTAAATTAACAAGATAGAAATCAACTAAAAAGATTAAAAATATGACGAGGAAGCAAAACTGCTTCACAATATCGCTGATGATGTTTAGTGAGTGGGCTTTTTAATTAGTAATTAAAGCAGAAAAAAGTGTAATGAGTTTTTAAGAATGGCAAATGAAGCGAAAATAATTAGAGTTAGTAAACCAATATCTAGAAACTTTTTTTTATATCTAATTATTTGCTATATATATTTGTGTTCTGTCATGACCTCAGGCGCTGTGCTTGTTCATCCGCGAGTTACTTTGTATGCGTTGTTTGTGTTTAGTAACCAGAAACTTCTTATATGTGTTACATTATTAGTTTTGTTATCTTTAACGATTATAACTTTATTGAAAACACATTAATTTTTGTAAGTCTTTGTTTAAATCATAAAAATTGCTTTAAAAGATACATTACGATAAAAAACAGATCAACAAAATTACATTTACATAAAGAATACAATCTCTTTTAAAATAAAAAATAAGAATTTACAAATAAAATCTATAATTTATAATAAACTTTTAAAATTTTGACAATTTAATTAATATATATTTAAAACATTTATTTTTGTAAACAATTTATATATATTCTTAAAACGATTTATGCTAGAAATCTGAAAACGTAACAAATCGCGAATAATATAATTTCTAAAACATTTCAAAAAAATGCTCCAAAATTTTTATTTCATTTAGTCAGCGTATTTTTTGAACCAATAAAATTAGTTTCTTCGTTAATTTGGTGGGTTTTTGGTGTTCGCGAATATTCTTTTTATTCTTTCGCACCAAGATGTTTTGAGAACATTTAAGTTTTTTATGTTTCCATGTATGTCCGTAAAACAAATATTTTTTGTTTCGTAAATAAATTTAAATGTTCTCTAAACGACTAAAAAACCTGGTCAGTTTTTCGCAACTAAATATAATTTCCGTGGTCAGTATTCGAGAGCGATCGCTCCCGCTTCCCGACCAAGCCTGATCTAAATGCGAAAGGTGTTAGTTATTACTTAAATACGCTTTGGAAACAAAAACTTCTATTGAAGTCTTTAAATCTTGAAATAGTTTGGGGTCCACAAACTCAAACTTCTCACCAGAGTAGTAAAGTTCTTACTTGCTATTCCATACCTGATACTGGTGGAGGTTTATTTAAAATGACTTTTTTCAATAGTTTTGAAAAAAAGTATTAAAAATGAAACCACTTACCCAATTTTTAAAAGAAAAATCAAACGTTTTAACTTATAAAATTATTTCAATTGTCAATTATTTGTTATATAGGTCATATATACATCTTTACTAGCAGAATTAATATTCTAAAGGATCTTCACTTGTATGAATATAATAATTTATTTGAAATCCCCTGTTTTGTATATATAAGCTTTATTTGAAATCCCCTGTTTTGTACGAAGCAAGAGAATGAAACTTAAGACAAACTCCATTCAGCAATTTCACTGGTGAATATTTGATTAGTATGTATACTTTTATTTCAGTTTGTTTAAAATAATGCGCACAAAACTTATTTTAAAATGCTTGTCTAAATGATAAGAGTTATTAATAATCATAATATATTTATATTATGATTATATATTTATAATTAGAAGCTTAAAACTTAGGCTTAAAACAGCAAATTTTATATCTATTATTTAATAAAATTATATTTACAGTATTTTATGACTTGTCAGACCTGTTAAATTTTTCAAGCTCCACATTTACCTGTTGTTTGAATCAGCTTTTGTGAAGGTAAAGCATTCAAAACATCTGCAAGACGTTGCCAAAGAACTGATGAAGCCTATAAGATAATTAAATTTGTACTCAACAATATTATTATTTTTTTAATATTAGTAATATATATTAATATACCATACAAAGTTCTACTTTATTCAAGGATTGAATTAAGTAATTGTGATTTGCAAAATCTACAAAAACATCTGGTCTTCAAAATTTTAGTTTATGCAAAGCAGTATACTTTGTTTTCAAGGAACAAATTATTATAAGTTTGTTAGCGAAAAAGTTATAAAAAACAAAATAAAACAATAAACTAACGATTGCAAAAGTAAAAACACTCTTGTCACTAACTGCATTATAAAAGTAATAAAACTATAATAGTGTTATTATTACTTTTATAAAGCATTTAAAACTTTTAATGTTCATTCTTTGTTCAAGCAACTTTAGTAATTCCAAACTTAAATAAAAGTAGATAAGCATCTAGAAAATATAAAGTGGATATTCAAATATTATTAAAAACATTAGGAACTTTTACAAATACTTAAACAACTTTATAAAAACGTACTTTATAAAAAGCTTAGCATTATGAAAAACGTTACTAACAGTCCGTTAAAACATGTTCTAATTTTAAAATCAACCAATAAAAAGTTTTTATTGGTTGATTTTAAAATTAACACTTTATGTTACAATTAATGTTTTTACGGTCCAAGTATGTTTTTATGGTTGTTTAAGTTCCTTAATAAGCTTTGAATATTATTTGAATATCCACTTTGTTTTTATAGATGCTTTTCACCTTCAGTTAAAATTTGGGATTACTTATGTTGTTTGAACAAAGAATGAATTATAAAAGTTATAAGTGCGTTATAAAAGTAATAACGCTATGTGTTATTACTTTTATTCTGCAGTTAGTTTTAAGAAAATGTTATTACTTTTGTAGTCGTAAGTTTATTTCATTTACTTTTTATTACTTTTTCGCTAACAAATTTAAGCTGATTTGCTCCTTGAAAACAAAGAGCACGGTTTTGCATAAACTAAATTTTGAATACCAGATATTTTTCCGGATTTTTCATTTCATGATCGCTTAATTCAACTCTAGTTATTATACATATTTATAACAAAAAAGAAAAGAAATTTTCAAAACATAACAAAAATCAAAACTTTACAATTAATAACTTAAAAAAGTACTTTAGCACTCATTTTAAGAACATCAGGATTTGCAAACATCCAGTCACATAGAATCTTTACAGCAGGTAAATAAGCTTCCTCATTAATTTTTTCAAACTCATCTAACAATTTTGCTGCATCATTAACCAGCTCAACATTTTCCATAAAGACATGATTAATCAGACCATTAGTTGGTTTTACACTCATTTTGTAATTGTTCTTCTTAAGCTGTTCATTGAACTGTTGACCAGCATAGGAAAGACTATTTAAGCCTTTTTTTGTATTAAAACTAATAGCCCCGTTCATTTTATGTCCAATTTCATCTTTTGGAATATCAAGTTCAATATCATCATTTAAAGCAAAAATGGATTCTTCATTATCAGAAAAATCATCAGCATCAAGTGTTTCGTCCATATCACCTAAAAAAATATTTGTTTTTTTTCAAAATTACAAATTTGCCTTTATCACAACTGCAAGAGACAAGGAAAGGAGAGAGGTGTGATGATCATATCTATTTTTTTTAAACATCTTTCTTTTTTCTAATAATAAAACAATAGCATAAGCATGATTTCACTATTAACTCTATGAAACAGTTTAAAATTAAACTAGATGAGATGATGTAAAAATGTATTAAAAAATAATTACTGATTTCTAACATAAAAGTAAAATGCCTATGCAACAGAAGTTTGAGCCTGGGAGTTTTCAACTGTTTTATTGTTAGATGAAAGAAATATTTTATAAATTAAGGTAGTACAAAATACAAAAATTTTTTAAAATGTTTAAGTACACCTTTAAAAATGTTTTGTAAAAAATAAGGCTAAATTAAAGTCATACTAAAAAAAAAATTGGAAGTAATAAAAGAATATGTTAAAAAGATACACACTGTATATAGAAAGTATTAGTTATAGAGAAAGTTTCAGTTGGAAAGGTCAGGTTTTAACCATTCTATGAACATACTGTCTTGAAATTTTACTTCAAATTTATTAGATGCTGAAACTAAAATGGAAAAACACTTATTATTTAATTGCATGAAACAATTTTTATAAGCATGTTTATAGATATGAGACATTTTGATACATATGATTTTAGCTAATACTTTCTATATATTTTGTGAATTTTTTTAAACTATTCTTTTTTGTTATTACCTATTATTTCTTTAGTATGACTTGTTAAAATTTTTAATAGATTTTATTTTATTTTGTAATTATATCAACAACACTTTGTACACAGATAATATATATATATATATATATATATATATATATATATATATATATATATATATATATATATATATATATATATATATATATATATGTACACATATATACACATATATATACCACTTAGCACAATGTACATATAAACACATGTATTTATTATAAATAAATGATTAAACAAGCTTCCTTAAATCTTAATTATAAGATTTAAGGAAGAATACTATTTTAAAATTTTTACAAAAAATAGATCAAACTTTCAAAACACACAAAAAAAGGAACCTTCACTTAAATCTGATAATTCATCATCTGTAAAACTCCCATCATTTTCATCATGATCGGAACTTTGAGAGTTTATCCGACGCCTGCGACGTTTGCGCTGATTGATCAAAATTTGTTGCTTCATACGACTGAAGTTATCTTCATGATTCTTTTCATTGATCGGATAATAGAGCTTTAAATATTGTGAAATGTAGTCCAACATTTGTGACAAAAGAGCAGCAGCAAACGCAGTAGCAGCTGAGGTTATGTCAGATCCTAATTTATTTTAAAATTTAAAAATTAAATAACAAGGTAATCTAAAAATATAATCCATAAATGTTATACACATATGCACACATATACACACAAATATAGAGAAGGAAAGAAAAAGTAATATTCCATTTTACTCAGGAAATTTTTTAAGCTTTTTTTAATTACCAAATTTCATTAAAAAAAAATTTTCAGGTAAAAAACTGGCTGAAGCGATTATCCTTGAAATATTCAGAGTGGTTCTTAATATTCTTAAACAACTTTTAAATATATCATTTAAATCTGGTTTACATTGTAATTAAAAACAATAAAATTTGTAGATATGATTACTTAAAGGGACTACCAAGTCCTGAGACATGTTGTGTTCATATCAAAGAGAATGTTAAAAAAAAAAAAACGTTTGAGCAAATTTTTTTTCATTAAAACTAATTAATAAATGTATACCAAAAAAAACAAATCTTGTTGTTTTAGTTGAAGCTTGTCTTCTCCATTTTCTGCAGTATTTGGAGTCTGTAAAATAAACGCGATTTTCCAGGCGCATTATACAGACTTGATAATTTATTCAAGTGTGTTTAATTCATAGAAGTTTTAGTACATGACGTCATAGATTTTTTTGTTTGTTTAAAACATCGATTATTATTTTTTACATGCCATTTTCAAATCATATTCATTTTTATTATATTTCAAGTTCTAAAATGTGTTGGTAAAAAAATTAAAAACAAAATAGTATTTTATTTGCGCAACTTTTTAAAAATAATCCTCTAGACAACGTGTACTTTGATTTCTTTTGTTATAAGTTTTTCTTTCAAAATATTAGATTAACAATTTTCAACCTAAATAATAATGCACTTTTATTAATTTACGTCGTAAATATTAAAAAAAAAAATTATTAAACTAATTGTTAAAAGTATTAATTAATTATTAAATTAATTATTAAAAAATTAATAAATTAATTATTAAATTAATTATTAAAAAAAATTAAAACGCATTTTTTCTCTGATTTTCAAAAATGTATTTTTTGGTATTGAAGTGATCTTATTTCATTACTTATATTTCCATTATTATAACATCCGATATATATTATGGCGGGGGCTGAAAATTAAAAAATTAATATATATTAATTTTTATTTTACAGACATACATGGAAACATAATTAACTTGAATGTTCCTAAAACATCTTGCGGAAGAATAAAAAGAATATTCGCGAACACTAAAAACCCGCCAAATTTACGAACAAACTAATTCTATTGGTTCAAAAAATATGCTGACTAAGCGAAATAAAGTTCTAGAGTAGTCTGTTGAAATGTTTTAGGAATTGTATTATTTACGATTTGCTGCATTTTGAGATATCTAGCATAAATTTTTTTGAAAATATATTATCAAATGAACTATTACTTTAATATTATGGCTCATTATCGTAGCCACATCTGCAAAGCCATAAATCTTTTAAACTATTATCATTTGTTTTTTTTTTTTTTTTTTTACAACTTTGCTTCCAACAAGGCTGCAAGCAACCACTAATTAGTGTTGGAAGTTACTGGAAGAGAAAAGATGAAGATTGTAGGGCAAGATAACGATTGACAGACGACTTAAAAGATTGCAAATTATATGAATCAGGGAAGCAAGATGAAAAATTGTTTACAAAAATAAATGTTTTATAATAAAAGACGACTTATATATAAATATTATAATTAAAATAAATATTATAATATATATATAAATATATATAATTATATATTATTATATAAATTATTATTATTATATTATTATATTATACAAAATACTATTATTATATTATTATATTGTATAATAAATATATATTATTATTAAAATATATAAAATATTATAATATATACAAATATTATAATTAAATAATTATAATAAATAAATGTTTTATAATAAAAGACAACTTAAAAGATTGCAAATTATATGAATCAGGAAAGCAAGATGAAAAATTGTTTACAAAAATAAATGTTTTATAATATACATTTTTTAAATTGTCAAAATTTTGAAAGTTAATTACAAATTATATATTTTATTAGTATATTCTTATTTTTTGTATCTTTTCCTAGTGCTTGGTTTAATTAATTGTTTGTTAAATTTGTCGAAATAACTTGCATCAAAATGTAAAGAATACACTCGAGAATCATTGGAGATATTATATAACTTGATTTGGCACCATAGGGGTCCTTAGGTCCACCATTGCCATGGCCCATGTAGCCACGGCTCTGATAGCTACAAAAAAACATAAAGTTTTTTTCAATGTGAAGATTTTAGAAAATAAAATAACTAACTATAGTTAGCTATTTTAGTAAAATTTAATAGTAAAATTTTAAAAGAATTTCTAGAATTTCTATGTTTCCAATGACATCATGTACTAAAACTTCTATGAATAAAACGCACTTGAATAAACCATCAAGTCTGTATAACTAACCTGGAAAGTCGTGTTTATTTTACAGACTCCAAATACCGCAGAAAATGGAGAAGACAAGCTTCGACTAAAACAACAAGATTTTTTTTTTTTGGTATACATTTATTAATTAGTTTTAATGAAAAAAAATTAGCTCAGACGTTTTTTTTTTTAACATTCTCTTTAATATGAACACAACATGTCTCAGGACTTGGTAGTCCCTTTAAAACCAATAAAGTAGAGAATCTGTTATGCAATAAATAAGGCAATGAAAAAAGCTTACAAAAAGATATAGATGCTTGTGTAAAAAATATTAGAACACTTTCAGTCTTTTAAAATGAATAATAATCTAAATTACAACCTGTATGATACGCTTTTTTAGACAAAGGCTAGAAGAAGCCAACTGCGACTTAAAAAACCTCCTGTCTTGGAGCTCTTGGTTGAGTAAAGGCTAGAGATGGTGTCCCAATAAAAATACTCATCTTGGGTTTAAGGGGTAAACAGATTCCATCTGTTTACCCCTTAAACCAGCCTCCCACCTATAAAACATCTATTAGGCTGGCGCAGATGTATTTATAATAGATTGTTTCCAGTTTACGATGTTGAATGCTGGATCTTTTTGACTCAATGCATGGGTTTTGCTTGTGTCTCTGTTTTTATGACTAGGTACCTCATTCTATTATCTCCTAATGAGGGTACTGCTATAAAACTCAGTTTTATGGTTCTGAGGCTCTTATAGGTACCTCATTCTATTATCTCCTAATAAGGGTACAGCTCTAAAACTCAGTTTTATCTCTGAGAGCTACCACTCTGTTAATGGAATCACTCTCAGAGAGGCTGATTCCATCAACAGGTGTAAAATATCAGAGTACTAACAGTGCCATGTTGAACATGGATGGTGTCCCTGTTTGTACTTTTGGTGTGTATTGTCAAGGCCACATTTGGAGACCTTTGTTATGGCTTAGAGTTTATTAATAGTAATGTTGCAATTGCTTGGGATTTTAAATAGTTTGCTGAGTATTATCTATGCTTTTAGTCAAGTTCTTTAACAAATTTAAAAATGAATAAAGTACAAAAAACTATAAAACACAAAAAACCATCGTCATCACCAAGTTCTCTAAACCTATCATTCACTAATATTCATAGTCTTCCAAGTAACATTTCTTCTGTTGAGTTTTATTTCTTGCAAAGTTCACCAGACCTCTTGCTCTTTGTGAGACTAATTTGAGTTCGGCTGTCTCATATTGTGGCTTAGTGTTGATGGTTATCTTCCTTTAACTTATAAAGACTATAATATTCACATGCTTGGCCTGGGCATTTATATTCGTATTCTTGTCTTGATAAGAAGCCAACACTCTCTGATTGCTTAGAGGGGGCATTTGAGCTTAAAAAAGATCTCATCTCTGCTACAGCATGGGGCTCACATTTCATCTTCTAAGATTAACTCTTACTTCTGATCTTTCTTGGAAATCATATATCAAATAAGCAAAGGTGTTAAAAAAAATAAATAAAAAAATCTACATCCTTAAGCATTCACAGCCCTATTATGATGTTAAAATATTTAATATTTAAATTGATTACTTGCATACAAAATTTCTATTGTAACTTTCATTTATACTGTAATGGTATAGTTTAATGTTGTAGCTGGTTAATACATCAGCAAGTTGTCTCCAATTCTTTTCAATTCGTTAAAAATTTTTATTTATGTAATCTATCATAAATGTTTTCTAATTTGTTCAAAGATTTTGCATTGAAGGCTTCTAGACATAACTAAACATAACTTTGTAACAAATAGAGTTGCAGTATTCCATAATACTGAAACTCTATTTTGTTAATAAATTTCCCTGTTGTATTTAAACCCATCTCATATTTTTCTTTAACTTTTAACCAATAGTGGATTTTTAATGACTTTTAACCAATAGTGGATTTATTGATTGATTGAACTATTCCTTTAAATATACTTTGAGCATCTGTATAATGCCCTTCGTAGTCATTTCTTCTCCAGAGATATTACACTAAGTTTGGCAAGATGATCCTTATAATACGAATATATATTATGTAAGGTTTTTTAGATTAGAAAATTATAATTTAAAACAAATTTTTTTTTTTGTAAATAATTTTTTAGGGAAAGCAGAATAGTATTGAATTAATAAACAGATCAATATCTAAATTTTTTTGATCAAAACATTTTGGGATTATTATTAAAAGTTAATTTTAAGGAATTCATTCAGAAAAAAAAAAAAAAAATCGAAATTCATTTAGAAGGAATAATGTTGAAAATGCCTATATGAAATAATATCGAAATTTGGATTTAGGAATAGTATCAAAAAACTAGAAAAGAGGTAGAAGATGTGAGGAATGTTGCTACATCGACTGACAAGTAGGTAGAACATGCAAAGAGCGTTGCTACATCAACTGAGGGTTTTGTTTGGCAGTCTATCAATTAAAATTCACAATTTTAGTTTATTCTTTTATTTCAATATTAATCTGAATTCAGTTTATTTTGATAATAATTTGAAAAGTCCCTTTTTGAACTTATTTTCTTGAGCTACTCTTTTGAGCTATTTTGACCTGATTCTGCTTTTTGTATCTTAGATGCAATTCCTATTTTTACAATTTCGAGCTTATTCGGTTTGGATGTTTTCGATACTGTTACTACTACCCAATATTTGATACATTTTATACGTCTCCAATTAAGATTTCTAAACAGTTTTGTTAGATTTGAATCTTTTCAAAATTAATTTTTACTAGTTAATAATTCACCATATAAACTTGATTTTTTTTAGCCAACTTGGAAAACCTTAAGGTATGAACATAAATCGTAACTTCTCATTTGTAGCTTATGGCAGGCCTTATTTTAAAGTGTCATGCAGTGTGCAATTTACAAATGCATTAAGCAATTTTATGTACGCCTAAAGCAATATCAGTTAATCAACTTTTTATTAATTTTTAACATTTAAAATAGTATAAAGATGTCTTATATGTGATAAGATAAAAAAAAGTAATTGTTATAAAAACCACTTAAACATTTGACTGACAATTATGTAAAAAAAATGTACAAAAGCTTGAATAACAATTACGTTGGATAAAAGAGTTATACAAATGAAGCGAAATGAAAATGAAAAGATAAAAAAAAAATGAAAATTTAATTTCTTTATATTTTAATACTTTTAATTTAAATTTAGAAATATTAAACTAAAAAATAGTTCACCTTAAATTTTATTTATTTTTAATTTAAAAATAATTTAATATTGTCAGCTAGCAAACGTGTTTTACAACTGCATCAAAAATTTGCACAAAACATACATTGAACTTTTTTCAAAAGGTAAGTTAAAGGGCAACAACATTTACTTTTAAAAAAATACTACTTGGAAACCTAAAAAAATTTTTGCTTTCACAAAAAAATTACTGGTAAAATAATTTACTAGAGGTTTTAATTTTGCAATTTGTTATATATTTATTTGTTACTAACAACGCTTGCACACAGATCCACAAAAACTATGGCAAGTTCATAAAAAAGCATTTGCCAAAAAAAAAAGTTTCGTTTTAAATTGCAATAAAACCTTTTTGTTCATTTGCTCACCTTTTATGGAAAATGGCTTTTTTTACAACACCTTATTTAACTTGCTTTCTTGTCTTTTTGTTTATTTTTTTGGTGTCTGCGCAAAACAAACACAAGGTCAGCGGTAATAATAAAAGAAATCGCTAAAAAAAGTAATTAAAACAAAGCAAAACAGACTTTAGTTAAATAATTAAATATATTTAGCGTAAATAAAAGAAATCATTAAGGAAAGTAATTAAAACAAACAACAAACTTTAAGTGTTTTAGTTTAGCATAAATAAATAGAATTGCTGTTGAATAATTAAAAAAATATATACAAAAAAATTTTTAACAACAAAATTTTAAAAATAGACTAAAAAGTAAAAAATTTTATTAACATTAAAGTCAATGACTGAAAATGTTGGGCAACAAGTACAACTCGATCCTTTTGGCACCCAACATTTTCAGTCATTGACTTTAATGGATATTTCAGGTTGTGTACGTACACAAAGTCCTTGGGTCCCGTGAAATAGTTTATTTTTTACTTTTCAGTCCATTTTTAAAATGCTGTTTTTATATACATTTAAAATGCTTTGTTGTATACATTTTTTTATTAGTTTTTTTTTTAATGATTTTATCTAGTATTTATTCAAAGTATTCTTTTTGCTATTTTTGATTTTAATTTAAATAGCAGGAAAAATAGAAATTTTTTAAATCGCGCAGGCTAACTTAAAATTGACCATCTAGCCAGCTGCCAGCTTTTTCTTGTGCTGGCATTCAAACGGAGAAGACTGTGTGCGTGTGCGTGTGTATATATATATATATATATATATATATATATATATATATATATATATATATATATATATATATATATATATATATGTATGTAATTGAAAATACTTAATTTATGGTGAAATTTAGATTTTAAATGTGTGTAATATAGTTAAAGCCATTTTCAAACTAAAAAAGATTACAAAAACAAAAAAATTTCTTTAAAATTTCAAAATTAAACATTTTATAATTTAAATGAGATTTTTTCTTCAATTTTTTTTATTGAAATAAATTAAATTATCAGAATATAAATTTATTATAAAATAATAATAAAAAAAATGAAAAACTAAGATATTGAAATGAGAACAAGTGTTCATATGAATCAAAAAAAAAAAAAAAAAAAATGGCCAAAATAAACAAACCACAACAATAAAGTTAACAAACCATAATAATTTTTTTTTTTACAAATCACAAAAATAAAAATAAAAAACAACAAAATTTATATTTTGTTGATAATCCTTTAGCTTTTAAGCATTCATTGATCTTTTCGGCACGGAATTCACTAAATTCTGAGTAATATTTTTTGGAATATTACTCAGCAATTTTGTTACTTCTTTTTTCAGCTGGTCCAGATTTTTTATTTCAATTTTACCAAGATTGTAGTCTAACCAAGATCATAAATTCCCTATGCAATTGAGATCTGGACTATCGGCAGGCCAAGACACAATTTTAATGTTGTATTTTTCAAACCATTGCTTGCAAATCTTAGCAGTATGACATGGAGTTAGACATCATGTTAAAATAGACATCATGTTAAAATATATCTTATGTCTTTTTTGGAAAATGTCAATAGAAGGCATTAAATAATTATCCAATATATCTAAATATAATTGAGAATCAAGCCTTCCATCAAATAATTTGAAGCAACTGCCACTTTCATGCAGGCCCATATGCCTATACTGCCACTATCTTGTTTTGTTTTACACATAGAACAATCTGGGTTTATTTTTTCATGTGGCGTTCTTCTCAACATTACCTGGTTTTTCTTGAACCAACCTTAATGTTCATTTCATCGCTGAAAAGAACATTATGCCACATGCTCTTAGACCAAATTTTATGAACTAAACAACACTTTTTCTTGCTTTCTGATGGTTTTTTGATAGATGTGGTTTGGTGTTGCAAGCAACTCCCCACATGTAGTTGTGTTTTTGTAGTACTCTTCTAATTGTTCGAGCACTGGCAACAACACCAGAAGCTTATTGCCATTTTTGACTGAGATTAGTAGATGATAATTTTTTTTTTACTATGCAAATAAGTGAAAATTCATTTCTTTCCTTTGAAATGCTGGGTCTTTCAGGGAGAGGAAGATTTTCAATTGTATCGCATTTATGATATCGTTTGACTATTCTGCTCAGAGTTGCATGAGTTGTGTTTAAATGATTTGCTATTTTTTTCATTGAAATGTTTTGTCCATTCTATGCTACGATTTTACATTTTGTCATATTATCAATTGTTTTTCCAGTCATTTTTGTTTGTTTTATTGCTGAAATGTTGTAGTTAATTCCATACTAATGTTTATGTTTTATTTTTTCAAAAAATTTTTTAAATATTTATAACAGCTTCTAAAGTAGTTATAAAATTCTTAAACAATTATTAATAATTTGCAAATAAGTTCAAAGTTTTATTCAAAGACAAATGAAATTTTGAAGGAAGTAAATAAAATAATAGTGGATTGTCAATTTTGGCCATTACAATTGTTTTAGATTATGAGAGATGTGTCAAAAAAACAAACAAGATAATTAGTGCATCCATTAATATTTTTATGAAAATCTATATTTATTTGAAAGAAAATATGATGCTAATTAATTGACACATTTTATATTTGAAAAGAGTCAAACAATCTTCATATGAGATTAAAAAAAACACTTAAAACTAATAAATGAAACTTTAACACAGCTTTGATATTTACATCATTAAAAGCTTAAAAAAGCATTTTAGTTTAAATTATTTTTAAACCCCATTAAAAATCATTTAAACTATCATAACAAGAGTTAATGATGAAATCTAAATTCAGCATTTGAAAAAGATTATATTTCCTCATAAATTATTTCTTAAAACAATCTTATTCTTAACATATTCTTTTGTTTCTTTATCACAACTTTTTTATGTTTTACATATTTAGTGTAATATTTTTAATAAAAATTATAAAGAATTTGTAGAGATTTTAGTAACCAATAAAATATACTATGATAAAGATTTTTGTGTTTTACATAATGAATTAGTTAACAAGAAAAAAAATTTTTTAATAAATATTGCAAAACTACTTTATACTCTTTTGAAACTATATTTTTACATTCTACAATTTACTAACTATTTTACATATCTTCAAAATTAAATTTTTAAATAAAAGTCTTTAAAAAAAATTTATTCAAAATAATCATTTTTTTAAAAACAAAAAATTCAGTTGTGATTAAATACTTGTTTTTACGACATGAAATTAACTGAATAAATGTCATATAAAAGATATTAAAAGATAATTTAAAATATTCCAAAATAAAAGTTACTTAACATAAAACTGCTGAACGCGTATGCAAATTGCCATTTTGTACATTAAGTGCGAGCTGCATAACACTTCTTAACAAGGCCGGATATATACACACACACACACACTCACACACACACACACACACACACACACACACACACACACATATATGTAAATACACATTGGGTTGTCCAGAAAGTGTTTTAGGTTTTTAACTATTAAATTGAAAACAATTTTTCAATTACAAAAAGTAAAATATATACATATATATTCTATATTATATTATAATTACTATTACTTGTATCATAAAATATACTTAATTTATACCTATCATTTTTAGCTTAACAACATCTAAAATAATCATAGTTAAAAGCTTGACAAGTGTTCCAGATGTTAACTTTTCATTGTTGTTACTTTTTTCCATTGCTGCATACTTTGAGCTTCCATTTGTCAAACCAGATTCATCCATTTTAAGATTTTCTGACAATGTAAGTGAAAATAGTGACAACAATGATTGACACCATTCTGCAAGATCCTCCATTGATATACTAAAATAATTGGTACTAATTAATTTTGTTATTATAATTAATAATTAGATTATTAAGCTTGAACATAGATTTAACAATTAGATTATTAAGTTTGAACATGTGTGGAAATAAAAACTTTAACAACAACAAAATTTTCTAAAAAACGAAAAAACTACATTTATTTCTTTAAAAAGCAAACGCGACAATGCACAACTTCATATATATATATATATATATATATATATATATATATATATATATATATATGTATACATGTATATATCAACTTTATCTATGTATATATGTATACATGTATATATCAAGCCATCCCGAAAAGCGCACACGGCCGCCCGCCTTCCCAGGAAGGACAAACTGACCACGGCAGTTCACATCTTTTAACTTTTAAAGCGTTTCAATACTTTGCGGCAAAAGCTAAACTTACCTACTAAAAAAAACAATCCTAAAAAAGGAAACAAAATTGTAACGAAATATCAAGTTAAATAAACTAGAAAAATTAAAACTAAAAAAAGTAAATAAAGTTTTTTTTGTATATAAAATTTTTATACAACTTTTGTAATCCTTTTTTTAGAGTCGTTGAAAAAAACATCTTTTATTAATCTTACATTATCTTTACGATTTAACAACAATTGAAAGTTTTGATATACTATTTATTCACGATTTTTATCAGTCCATATAATCAAGAAACTAATTTGCTATGTATGCTAGAACTATAAGAAACTTTGTTAATTTTTTTTCTTACATTTATTCGTTTATTATGTTTATTCGTTTTTTACGTCTTTTCACTTATTAATTATTTTTGCTATATTTGACGTTTTTTCTCAATACTTATATAATAGGAAAATAAGAAAATAAATTGTTATTTATTTGTAAAAAATATTATTTGATTAATAAATTTTGTAATGATGGAATAAGTTAAATAAAAGAATAACATAGTTTCTTTAATAAATGTATTTACCGCATTTGATGCATATCTGAAATTGTTTCTTTTATATTGCCCAATTTCCAATGTTAATACGAATTACTAGAGATAATGATCATAATGATTGCTCTGTTTAAAAAAATGTATTTAAAAACTTAAAAAAAAGTTTGAAATAGGCTCCTAAAAATTTCGTTAAAAAAGTAATTCAGTAAATTAAATATGCACTAGCCCACAAGATTTTGGAACATCATTTTATTTTTTTACATGAAAAACTTGTTAAAATTTTTTTTTACTTTCACAAATATATCAATTAGTTTTCTTGCCTTCCTGTGCATTGATAAAAACAGTAAAGACATTAGTAAAGACATTAGCAAAGACATTTAAAAAACAAATTTTAAAATTGCCTATGTTTCTAGCACAAATTATAAAAAAATTATTTCCTCAATATACTGACACAAAGTATTTCCTTAATATACTGACCGTGAAAAATTTTAAACCAAAAAAAAAAAAATTTTTTTTTTTACATTTTTATTTATTTTTTCCTTGACTTGTATCAATTTTGGAAGTGAAAAATAACAAATGCTCTAAAAATAAGAAAACAAAAAGAGTAAAATATTTAGGTATATTATATTTTTGACAATGAATTTCTTTTTTTTTCAATTTTTTTTAGCTTATTTTATTTAGTTTTTCTATTTCGAATAGTTTTTGGTTCTCTTCTTTGAGTATTGCTGTTTTATTCTCTAGTTTCTTATAGCTTTATTTTGCCACGAATTCTTAAAACAATTATAATTCTTACTATATAAAAACAAAGTCAAGTTGTCTAAAAAAATTACTTTAGGCGTGGACGAACAAGGCGTATGACCGTACACACTTCCCAGGAAAGCTTGATATATATATAAATTGCCCTTTTATGTAAAACTACCTTTTTAATTTGATCCAATTAAACAAAAAATAAATTAGTAATAAATAATAATACTATTGAAAATAAACTTTTTTTGGAAATCTGGAACACTCAGATCCAATTATAACAAATATTTTGCGCAATTTTATAAGCTTTATAAGGTTGTTTTTTTAGATGCAGCCTCCTTCATAAAAAACTTCCAATAAAAAAGTAAGAATATATTTGAACATTTTTAAAAATTATCTTTTATATAAACCATTATGAGCTTCATTTTTTTTTCTCTCCCTATTCCTGCAAAAAAACAGTAACATACCTTCTAATACCAAATAGAACATCTTGGAGCATAAGAAAAGAAGTCTCAAACTGAACTTTAGTGCTTATTCTGAAAAAAAATTATTCGAGATATTCTTATTATGAAAACATATATAGATAGTTCAAAAAACTGCTAACAACCTACACTTGATCATTTGCAGCAGCATCTTTATGCAATGTTTCAACCATTTGACTTTGTTTTTCTAAAGCACGTTTTAAATTTTCTTCAGCACCATCAAAACTTGATGTTGACAAAACACTTTAAAATAATACTATTTCTTTAAAAACATTTCAATAATATATATATACATATATATGTGTAATAATATATAAATATATATACATATATATATATATATATATATATATACATATATATATATATATATATATATACATATATATATATATATATATATATATTATATATATATATATATATTATATATATATATATATATATATATATATATATATATATATATATATATATATATATATATATATATATATATATATATATATATATATATATATATATATATATATATATATAATTTATTTATAGTCATTTGATTAGTCAAGAAATGAAAATAATATTAAAAGAATAACAAAAAAACAAACAGACTTAATATAATGTACGTTTAAACATTTTGATTTTTTAATTAAATTACACAGAGAACAGATATTGGAGATGCTTGGAGGCTACTAGGAACTACTTTAACTTTTTCTACTTACCATCTCATATAGTGGTAACATGATTCATGGAGAAGAAGCTGGCTCTGCTTTAGAGTTCCAATTTGATTGTGAGGCATTCCTGAAAACAATTAAATGTAATTATAAAGTAACAGCATGGTATGCATGCATTAAATGGTATTTTCAATCAGGACACAAATTAAAAGATAAAATTGGTAATCACAATTCCAAAATTTGCAAAATAACTGGTGATGCGTAAATTTTCAGTCAAAATAAAAACTTTAATATCTTATTAAAAATAAATAGAAAACTATTTGGATATTTTTCTAAAATAAAGTATTTTTTAATAAAAAACAATTTCAAAAAGATGTCAAAACAAAATTTTATCAATTTTCCTTTGACATCTTTCATGAGCAACTGTAAAAAATTCAAATTAGTTTCTTAAGTTTTTAATTTGATGTGATTTATTAAGACTTTCACTGATGAAGTGTGCCAACCTACCTAGTAAATTTTTTGAGCTAAAATACCTAAAGTGCTCAACTGGTTGTGCTTGAGGTGGTGAGTTAAATTTTTTATGAACATAATTGACATGTTTGTATATCCAATTTAGAGAATCATTAGTGTTATGAGAGTTTGCTAAATCTAATCTTGCTAAATTTAAGAAAAATGAGTTGTTGCCATGATACACAATGAACTGATAAATGTTGACCAATAATTTACTTTTTCAGTTTTAACCAGGCTTGTGGAGCCGACTATTTTTTTACGGCTCGGCTCCGGCTCCGGCTCGGCTCCCGGCTCCCAAACTTTATGAACAAAAATCGCAAGTTTTGGAAATATTTTTGATGACCCATAACTATACTTACTACTGCAATTAATTTTTAACCAACTCTCATGATAACACGGTTATTGTATAACTATCACTACTCTACTCAACTACCGGATATTACCTTTGAAAAGAAAAATGTTTTGGGTGAACAAACACTTTTTTCTATATAGTATTTACCCAAAACTAGAGTTTTTAGTCTGAATTTTAATTCTAATTTTACCCAAGGGGCACGTAACTAAAAAAAGGCGTCTTTTGAAAGTCCCAAAGACGCCCAAAACGTTCAAAAGGCATCCAAAACTTTCTAAAGACGTTTAAAAGACCTCTGTGTGTCCCGTGCCCATTGGGTAAAACATGCAATCGTTAAAGTCAAAATTAAAAAAAAAAAAATAAGAAATAGTTCAACTAATGCAAAAGCTTCAATATTTATTTTAATCTAAGAGACTTGAAGATTATAAAAGTGCTTTTTATTTTAATATTTTTCATTATTTTGAATAGCGAACATTTACGCTAATTGACGACATCAACTTCTGCACAGTGTTTTTTACAATTTTTTTCCCTACTAATGTTAACTCTCTAATCAAATCTTTAGCTTTACTTATTATTTTGCCACTCTTACACAAATATCCTTTGCCGATTCTCCAAAATGTCTCAATGGGACAGAACTGTGTGCAGATTAATGGATTCAAGCTTTTTGGTATGAATTTGAAGTCTCTCAAATTGTACCAATTTTCTTAAAATAATGACAAGAAGCAAGATTAGGCCAGAACTAACAGGGGACATTGTGATTTTAATAAAATTACTAAAGTCTATCTTGCAAGTATTCTTTGATATAAAAATCAGAGTTTAAAATTGACGATGTGACAAAAGCTCAAGATCTCAAACCACAGCTGCATATTACTTGCCAAAATTTAAACTTTAAAAAACTCTGAAACTTTATACCTTTTGGGTTGTTCTTTGTTCGATAAGCCGGGGTTTTGATTGATGATTGTCAAATACTAATTGCTGCTTTCTTATTCTTAAAGCCACACTTTCTTCCAGATCCTTTTGCTCGTTCGATAAATAGAGAGCTCATGTATTGTTTTATGTCCATAAAAACAATATTTTTGCTAGATTCAGATGCTTTAGCGATTGAAAGTAACGATGCAGAAGAATTAGGTTAAGAACTAAGATTGTATTAATCACAATTTAATTAATAGAAACATTTTGACTCGTTTGTTGGTGTTTTTAATAAATACTAAAATTGCTTAAAGTAATTACGCAAAAAAATACATTAAAAATGTGTTAGTGACAAGTTTTAAAACGAAAATCATCGTTTCAAGTTTAACGATCGCATACTTTAATATAGTTTTAAAAGTCTCATTTTCAAATCCATATAAATAAAAAACCGATCAACTTAAATACTTAAAAATCAATCTGATGGCAGTAATCTACCTTAACTTTAAAAAAACAAAAATTTATTTTACAAAATTAATTATTTTTGGCCATCTTGGACTTCAAAGTTATAAAAAAAAAAACACTTTAAAGAAAAATTTTTAATATTAATAAAGCAAATGAAAGCTGAATACACAAGCAAATGTGAAAAACTATGTTATTTTGTGAGAATAGGTGGTAGTCATCATTCATGATAAGATTTATAACATTGGATTCAAAATTATAGAAGTTAGACCCCCCTAAAAAGCCTCTAGCCTTAAAATGGTAAAATTAGAAATGTTTTAAAAACTTTTAGAAATGTATCTTCGATATAAGAAGAAATACAGAAAAAATAATTTTGGAATGTCTTGTAGCTGCTGATTACACAGTGTCAATCAGCAAGAAGCTATCAAATTTCTGAGCAAGAATTTGAAGAAATATCATTAAGTTTTAAAATGTTAAAAAAAAATGTTTAGACAATTATTTTGAGAACAAGATTTATTATTTATTATTTTCTTTTTTACATTTTTTTATTGTAATTGAGATTTATTTCTTGATTTTTTTTTTTTGACTTTGAAATGTATTCATATATTGGAAAAATATAAGCCTTTATTTACGGATATCTTTATCTAAAATTTATTTTTAATTCCTTGTTTAAAAATTAATAAAACAACTTTTTACATTTAAATGTTCATCAGTTTTAAAGATATTGACTATATAACAAATTCAAAATGGCCAATTTTGAATTCCAGAATCAGAGTATTTACTTTTGCTAAAACATTTACAACAGGAACCCAACATTTGTCTTCTCACCTGGGCCATTTAAAGTTTACTCCATTTTGTTGCATACATTTGTTTAATTATTCTTTTATAAACAAGGAATTTAAAAATAACTTGAAAGTTAATTATTTTATTAGGTGGGTTTAAAATAATAATTTTGGGATGTCTTGATGATTCAATAAATTAATATAAAGATTGCATCATCATAAAATGAAGTAATACTTGGCCACTAAAAATATTTTTAAAATATAAGCCTTTAAAACCGATGAACATTTTATAATTCGATGAACATAAAGTTCATGATTTTTAAGTATTTAAGTTAATTGGTTTTTTATTTATATGGATTTGAAAATGAGACTTTTTTAAAAAAGACAACAAATTGCTCAAAATAGGCTAAGACATTAATCTTTCAAATTGCCATAATTTTAGAACACTTAATAAAAAAAGATAATGAGTTGAAATTTTAAAGAAATCTTTTTTTCCATAATACCTATAAGGGGTGTAAATTTCAAGAAAATCTGAGATGGTCACACATGAAATTTTCAAAAAATTAGCTTATTTTATATGGATTGACCGCACAGTCATTTTTCATTTCTTATTATAAAAACGTATCAATTACTAAATACCTCAATAATAAAAATTTGCATTTGAAATTCAAAATGGATGGTAATGAAGTAAATTTATTAAAAACTAAATTTATTACTTAAATTTTTTTTCTTCAAAAAAAAAAAAAAAACTAAAATTAAATTTTTTTTCTGTTTCAATTTACTTTACAATTATTACAAAAATAAATTAAATCAAAAGTGTTAATTATTTTGATCGAACAACTTTGTGTTGCAGTGATCAGATCAGATTGTTAATTATTGTCACGAGTGAATTCAAAAAAGCAAAGTTAAGTTTTTTTTATTGTTTAATAGCAACATATTCAATATGGGTTATACAAAATTCTCAAAATTAAATTATTTCTAAAGTATTAATTTGTGACAACTGTGACATTTTTTGTTCTTATGATTTTTCTTTCATTTCTATTTTATCTATTTTTGAATGTCTAAACACAATTTTAAAATTTAAGATTTTTTCTGCAGTTATTTATTATTTTATTATTAAACTGTATTTTTTTTTTTTTTTTTTGTTTACTTGAAATTCTCTAAATAGAGCTTGAATTATACCTTGCATGAAAGTGCCTATATTGGGAGTCATGGTAATTAGAAGAAAAATGAGTCTTTTTAGTTAAAGTAGATAACTGAGTTGTCTGAGCATTTAAATGTCTATTGTGGAGTTTCCTTGAACAAAAAAACTTCTATTTTAATGTGTTGGATGACTTTTTAGGTTGAAATTGTTTGAATATTCATTCTAACTGTCAAATTCCAAATTAATGGAAGCCTGAATGACGAAACAAATTAAACAATTGTAAATATCCTTAACTAAAATATTATACAGTTATTATCTAAAAGTATGAATAATTTAGGATGGAAAATGTTAAACTACATTAACTCAAGAACTTTTAAAATCAAATAAATAATCTATCATTCTTCATTAGTTTGTGAAGTAATGATTTATAGATGAGTTATCTTTGGTAAAGCAATCTAACAAACGAAAAAAAAGTATTGTAGTTTGTTCAAATTTCAATAGTTTCCAATACCATAACCACAAAACTAAGGCATGTTATCAGAAAAATCCGCCCACCTTTTGCAGTGTGGTAAAGCTAGTTAGCGGTCATTTTTTTAAATTATTTTTTTGTGTGTGGTAGTGTTTGTATAAAAGAACATTTTGGTAGAAAAAAATAATTAAAAATATTATTTAGTTTCAAAATGTCAACCGAGCAAACTAAACAAAGATTTTTGCTTGTGGACAAACACTTAAAAAATCCAATTTTATCAAATAGAAAATTGGCAAAATCATTAAAAATATCAAGAAGAACTGTAGATACTGTTCTTAAACGGTTTACAGAACAGAAAACTATTCAGAGAAAACAAGGAAGTGGTCGAAAAAAACGCACAGCAAATCCTAGAGCTCTCGAACGGTTGGAGACTTCATTTGAAGAACATCCTGATTGGTCTGATAGATTTCGAGCAAAAAAACTGAAGGTTGTCAGTTTTTTTGTACACAAATGGCGACAGAGACTTGGATATCAAGGTTTTAAAGTAGTTAAAATGCCGAGTCGCAACGATAAACAAAATTCAACCGCAAAGAGTCAAGCTAGAAAGTTGTATGACAACTTGTTAACAAAACATAATGGATGCATTTTGATAGATGACAAAACTTATGTTAAAATGGATTTTAAACAAATTCCTTGGCAGTGCTACTATGTTTCTAAAATAAGAGGAAAAGTAAGTGATAAATACAAGTATGCAATGACTGATAAATTTTCGAAAAAATTGATGATTTGGCAGGCACTTTGCTCTTGCGGCAAAAAATCGCCAATTCATGTTTGTTTGGGCACAATGAAATCTTCCGAATACGTGAAATGATGTCTTTCTCGTATAAAACGACTAATTAAAGCTCATAGAAGTACTTCAGTATTATTTTGGCCTGATTTAGTCACAATACATTACTCAAAAGATGCTCAAAAGTTTTACGATGATAATGGAGTGATGTTGGTTCCAAAAAAAGATGAATCCTCCTAACTACCCCGAATTACATCCTATTGAAAAATATTGGGCCATCATAAAAAAGAAATTGAAATTAGGTGGAAAAACAGTAAAATCAGCTACAGATTTGAAGAAAAAATGGCATTACGCTGCTAAAACTTACAAAAATCACTCTGTCCAGAAACTTATGGGAGGCATCAAAAAGAAAGTCAGAATTTTCTGTAAAACTTAATTTTTTTTTGTTTTTTCCCTATTAATATGTAATCTTTACAGTCTTAATTTTTCAGAAATATATTGATTTAAATACATTTAAGCTTTGTTACATCCTTTTTTGATCAAGAAAGGTGAGCAGATATTTCCGATAGCATGACTTAAAGTAAAGGACAAAAGGTGGGGAAAAGTTTTGAAAATAAGTCTTTTTTTTTTTCTTCAGTTAATTCTAGACCTAACTAATAAACATAAACCATAAGTAAATAAAAAAATACCAAAATCAATATATAGAGATTTGTTCAATTATTTAATTAATTTGTTTAAAATTAAAAAAATGATTCTGTAGTTGTAAGATTGTGCCAAAAGATTTGTGTATTTGCAGCGATTGTATCAGAAATGCTTAACTTTTAAGAAAACGGTAGTTTTTATTCATCAAATACAGTTCTTATTAAACTGATTAACTAGCAAGAATTACCAGTTAAATATTGACAAATCTTATTTTTTAGAAATGCAACCAGTTACTCTGTATTCTTTACATGCTTCCTTTATTCCTTGCTTTTTATTACAGTACCATATTTTTGTTTTTTTAGATATTTTTGCAGCTTCTAAATTTTAAAAACCACTGACAAAATTTTGTTCTTGTTTTTTAGTACTATTTTCTTTATCCTTGCTCCTTAATTTATTGACTAACTTTTTGAACTTTTTTTTAAATTTTTCTTTGCACAGTAGAATTGGAAGATATTATTTGGAAGACCTTCGGTTTACTTTTAGCCACAAATACACCTCTTGTTTACTTTTCACACTTACAGCATGTTTATTAAATCTGCACACAATATTTCTCTATTTACATTTTTTACATTTGGATGACATAACCTTTATTGCTTTCTTGGCTTTTGTTGGATGTCAATAACTTTAGAATAATTAGATTAGTTATCAAAATAGTCTCTTTTAATAAAATATCAAAAGTGAGTTGATAATAACCAATATATTCCAGGATTGCATGAAAATGTGCCTTTTTTAAAAGTCAATTTATTTAATTTTATTCCCATAAATCATTGAATGTTCTTATATAAAGGGCAGACTAACAATAAAAAGATAAAACACAATGTTCAGCTTGGGAGGGGAAGGTTATCTTTAAGACTTTTTAATGGTGTTTTCTATTCAAAATTATAATTTTTTTACTCATAATGGCATGGCATATAAATAACTTTTTTAAATCACAACCCTACTGTACAAATAAAAATATTGCAAATTTGTTATTTTTTATTAATACAAAAATAGCTTATTAAAGTAACTTATTAAAAAAAAAAAAACCATTTTCTGGCTGCAACAAAATTGCCAAATGATAATATCTTTCAGGAAGGGAATTATCTTGATCTTTCATGATATCACATTGGTAACGAGCTATAAAAAAATTTTTTTTTTTAAAAAGTTGAACTTAAACAACTAACAAAAAAACAACAAAAAAAAGCAACAAGAAATTCAATAAACTAAAATCTTGAATTTCTAGTTAAAGCACTTTATGTTCAAACAGTTAAAAAACTGTTTGGTATGTCTCATTAGAAGTGCACTGTGCATGTTATATAAGATGAGTACTCCATTTTTATATTAGAGATTATTAATTAGCACAAAAAAAAATGTCCAGTTTAATTTTACTCTAATCTTAATCTTACTTCTCTAAACTTACCAATATCACCTAAATAAATAAGACATCTTTGACAAGCCTTTATTGCCCAGTCCATTTGTTCATCAGTAGCAGATACAAATAAATCATTGCAGTCTAAATAGAAATTATTATCCATATATCATATAACATAAATAATATTTAGAAAGCCACCTTTTGTTATTAATCATACTCACTAATATTTACAGGTATTCCAATCCAGTCAACAAATCCTTGTAATTGGATACTGAAACGACTTTGTATACGAATGAGTAAATTATGATAGAAACCAATAGCTCCTTGTAAATGAGAGCAATACACTGAATTGAGCACTTGGTCACTATGCAATGTCTAAGATTTCAAAGTCAAAAACAATTAAACAAGAATTTTACATTTTACATAAAATCATCACAACGATTAGTTGAAATTTTTGAAAATTTTTTTCAAAAACTGCTAAATTCTAATTATTATAATTTTTTTAATGATACATATACAAGTAATTTTTAGTGCATGGGTGTAGTTTTTAATGATGCATAAACAAAATTTTTTTCATAAATGGGTGTAGTTTTGTTGACATCTGATTAGTTTTTTCAGTGTTAAGTAAAAAACCTGCAAATCAAAAAAATATTTTGAAATTTTATATAGAAAATCTATCATGCTTGTATGCAATCATTTCAAAAGCATGAAAATTTCCAAAATCAACTGTTGGAATTGTCATAAAGCATTATAAAGAGATCAAAACTAAACCGGAAACAGGGAAAAAGTGGAAACCAAGATTTAATAAAAAAAAGCAAAATCAATAGGGACTTGATTCATCAAAATCCCCAGTAAAAACAAGATTTAGATACAAAGTTTAAATGCAATAGATATTTCATTCAAAGAGTATTCAAAGGGAAAATCTGAAAGCTTATCACAAGAAAAAAATACCAAAAATGGATGAGTTAAAAATTGTATATAACTGCAAAAAATGTATACAAAATTATCTTCATTGCCGTCACTAATTCGTGCATGTTTGACATATGTTAGAAGATTTAGCACACTTAACCTAGTTATGTAAACTTTGACTATTAAGTAAAGCACAGCATTAAAACACACATGATAGAAATGTGCTTTTTAACTGTTCTTTTTTGAAATTCTTTAATTTCTGTCAATGTTTAACACATGGATCTAAGTTTTTTACAAAAAATCAAAAGAGTTTCAGTTTTTCTTTTCAAATCCTTTAACCAAATTATGAATAAAACTATTTCATCATCTTTAATGCAAAAATAGAAATTAAAGATTTTATTTTTATTTTTGTAGCATATGTTTGTAAACTCAGAAAAATTTCCTTTAACTAAATTTAACTTCAATTTAATACAACAACCATACAACTAAACAGCAAAAACAAGTTTTTGTTGGAATTTTTAGGTGTGTTAATGCAGACCCATCTTGTAAGAGAAAAAACATCTGCATCAAACCTGGGGAAAATGTTAGCAAATAAAACAACAATAAAGTTATTGTAAAAATAATTTTTTTTTTTTAATTAATTTTTAAAACCAAATTATCATTAAAATCACCAAATTACCAATACCAATTAATTAATATCAAAAATTATAATTGAAAAATTATCATTAAAATTTATGTCCTAATTGACCCTGATATTTGTAAATAATAACACACCATTTGCACAAAAAAGGTCATACAACTCCTATTTTTATTCATTTATAATACAATTATTAAACTAGCCTGATATATACTATTCCCAATAAAATACAAATAAACAATAGAATAGAACTAGTTCCAAAATAGACCTCACTAACCCCCAGATTATAGCATATTATTATTATGTTTTAAAAATGTTTTTTTTTTAAGTGTAATAAATATATTGTTATTATAAACCTAAACATTAAAGAATAATTTTGCAGCAGAAACAAACTCATAAACTTTTTGTGTGTGATTGTTAGTGAATTTTGAAAACTTTTTTATAAATAAAGTAGTTGATTATAAAAAGTTTAATCAATCAAAGTTTAAACAATCGATTCCATAAGTTTTTTGGGCAATCTTTGTTTGTTTTAATAAAATTTTAAACTTTTCAAAACAATAAAATTTGATAACAAGTTATGCAAATTATAATAATAGTAATAAAAAAATTATATTATCCAAATGAAATTATGAATACAGAAATAAAACACATCAAACCATTTTAAAATAACTTTTAAGAGATTTTATTATGTAAATGAGATGAGATTAATGAATATTTATTCTTCCATTGATTAAAGTAAAAATATATCATTATTATCACAAAACATTGTATTCCGAGTTACAACCGTGTAGAACCAAGAGTAAAAATTTGCTGTTTATGTGATCTATACTTTATTTATCCATGACATTATTTATAAAATAAACATTTTTAATTGATGGAACTATGTAAATACAAAGAAACAACAAATAACCTTTCAAACAAATAACCTTTTTATCATTTTTTAACTTTTGAATAATATCATAAAATGCTTTTCTCCAAAGATACTCTTCGGTTTTTCTGGCAATATCACATTCCCCGGATAACAAAATATGTTCACATAGATCACGTATTCTATAAACAAACAACTTATTTAGCAATAAATAAGAAATCATACACTTAAAATTATCTTTAATAAAACAAGAAATCATACACTAAACAGAACTCGGAACTAGGGTCAGTTAGGGCAATGTTGACCTAACTGCCGACCTAGAAGTGTTTGAGGTGGGCAAAAAATTCCTTATCTCATTTCTATGTTTTATGGTGAAACCTTTGTTTCAAATTTTTTTGCCTACCAGATGCCTACCTTATTTTTTCTAATTTCAAGGTCTTACTAAAAACTATCTTTAAATATAGAACTTGCCACATAAGTCTTTACAAGTAAAAAAAAACTTTTAAAGCTTGTCACATAAACATACACATTAAATACATTTAAAAAAACAAGAATTCAATCAACACATCAAAAGTTTTCTTCCATTTAAATTATTACAATTTTTGTTTTATCCTTGGCTTAATATAACCATAACCAAATGAAAGAAAATATAACTAAACTTTTAAATTAGAACACAATCACGAGTCAATCATTTTATCACTCAATGATATTCACAACTTAGTGATAAAAAGTCCAGCAGTACTAAAGCATCTTTATGCTTCAACTGATGATGGTGGTAAAGACTTTAAGGCATATTGTTATTTTTTTTAGCATTTAAGGGCAGTCATTTGAACCTTTGAATACAGCTACTTCATTTATGATACAGTCCAAAACATTAAAGGAAGCCTGGCACATCATTAAATTTGAACTTTGGGCTAGGAAATAATGAAGCTCTTCAGTCTTACATTTTTTTCAAAGGTTCTTCAATTTCAACATTAAATGCTTCACATTCAACCAGGGGCAGACTGAGGCTAGAAATCGGCCCGGGAGTTTTACATTTGTCCAGCTCACATCAAAGAAAAAGAAAGTTATAACAACCACTTAAAAATTGATAAAACCTGAGAAAATATTCGAATTCTAATTAGATAAATTTTTTTCAGCTCCTCCCTTTCTTTTCTTGCGTTCAATCAATTTGAAATTTTTGAACAACCTGATTTAGGCTGGCTCACCTGCCCAAAATCATACCAGCCCACTGGGAATTCTTCCAGTGCTCCCTGGGGCCAGTCCGCCACTGCATTCAACTGATGCTTTAGGATTTTTATGGTCATAAAAAAGATGACAATAAATCTCTTGCTATAATTGGAAATTCTTTTTTCTTAATATAGTTTAAAATAGAATTTTTTTTATCTTGATCATACTGATTTAGTGCCTCATATATCTTAAAAGTCATACAATTCCAATATTTCTTTTAGAAATTCTTTTTATCACAGACTCAGCATATTAATAAATATTGTAGTATCTTGGTCTTTTAATTTTGTTAAAATAAATTTAAACGCTCCAAAAAGAGTAATATCTCTTTTATGTCAGCATACCCTTCAATAATTTCTAAACAATCTCCCAAATACCTAGCCGTTTTAATCTTATTATCAGTTGGTAGCATTTCCAATGCAAGTTCAATTTTAAGAAACCTTAAAATCGTTTTAGACATTGAGTTCCAACCTGTTTTTGTATCCAAAATTAAAGCCAACTCTTTTCCGAATTCATTAAGACAACAGCAATGAAAATTATCATTTCTTAGAGGTGACCTTTTAAAAAACTTTACAACCATTCAAATTTTTTGGATAGTGGTTTTAATTCTGTCAAGCTCACATAGCTCAACAGCTTCTTTATTAAGTAGTAGTACTTCCCAATTGACAGAAGTTTCATAATTGGTTTCATTATGACCATCATCAACTTCTTCAGTATCCTCATCTAAGTTGTCACAACAAAAATTTTTATCTTCTACTAGATCATTTGCTTTCTTAAAAAGTACATTAACTACTGCCAAGAGAAAGACATAGTTGATAAATTATTTGAGACTATCTTCCGGGGGTTTTTTTTGTCACACTGGCTCCATCTGTAACCATTCCAAAAATATGATTATTTAGATTTAATTCAAAATCTTTAAGCTTTATTTTGATTAATTTAAGACCATCTTCAGCCTTCATTGAGCCCACAATCCTCATCATTCCAAGGTAATTAACTGATTTATCTGACATGTGTAAGTTTTGGCACACATATCTTTGATTTCTATTGGAAGTCCATTTATTTAGAGTCAATGAAAATCTATCACCACTCTCAATCATTTTTGACAAATTATAATCCATCTTTTTCTTAAGTTTTGCTCTGTATTCCAAAAACATTGAAGTCATAACTTGCCTTGAACTTGGAATTTTAAGACTTTGAGCAGCCCAAACTATTTGAATATCAATACTTTTTGACAATTTATAAATGGGAAGATCAACAGCAACCATTCAAGCCAAATAGCCTTAAAATAGCCTTAAAATCTATTGAAGATGGCAAATTTGGTAAAACAAAGCAGAGAAATCATCAAAATTTAAACTAAAAAACATATTAATATTTTTTTAGCACTTATGGTCAGCTTACAATATATTGCACATATTTGTTTTAAAATTGTTATAAAATAAAAAAAATCTTTTTACATTTTCATCAACAACCCGTGGGAAATCGGCTAGCGAATAGCTAGCTATAATCGTTATGATAAAGACAGCGATTTGGCCATGAGGATCGCTAGCTTTTTTAAGTTAGCGAAAAGCTATCGATTTTTGTAAAGATAAAGACAGCCATTTGGCTACGAGGACAGCTAGCTTAACAAGCTGAAGATCCACTGGCTATTGTACCTGCGTCATATCGTAATTAAACCGTTGTCTAAAAATTTTTGATATGTAGCTATCAACCAGGTATAGATTTGTAGATATTTTGTAGCTAGCTACAATATGTAGGTAGCGACACATTGCTACAAAATCGCAATGTTTAAAGTTCAATTATTTTCATAGTTATAATAGACTCTAACACTAAAAATCGAACTTTTAAAGATGTTAAAGACATTTGCAAAAAATAAAATCACTAGAAAATCGCTATAGAGCTAGCTAGTCGCTAGCTCATTTCCCACTGGGAAAATAGAAAAAACATTGTTTAAAAATCAAACGCAAGTAGTTTTAAAGCCAAACGTAACCAAAATCAATTAAGACACCACTGCAGAGTTGATATTATTTTTAAATAATATAAAATAGCTGTTATCTTTTACTATTGTAATGTCATTAAAGCAATTTTGTACAATATAGGATTAGGGTAGCTGTATATACAATTGAAAATCAGACTACTTTTATACAAATTTTAATAAAATACCAATTTTCTGTTTATTAATTTGAATAAAAATTACTTGATATTACTTAAGTAATATAAATTTACTAAAGTAATTGAATCGTTCAAGCAATTACTTAAGTACTTAAGTTACTTAAAACAGCCCTAGTTTAGAAATCTAAGTTAGAGCTCAATCCAGTTGTTTTTCTAGTCTTCTTATATAAGTAATTAAAATAACAAAATAATAATTTGAATTAAACACTGGCATTACCACATCGGCAGTTAGTACAAAAGCAGCCAATAAATGTTATCAGGCTAATTGAAATAAAAAAAACGCTTCCAATTATCTAAATATCACAACCGTAATTATCTAAATTTCACAACCGTAACTAGACACTCTTGATTCCTAATCTAAAAATTACTATTTAAATTAACCACATAATTGCATTGCAGTAATGCCAGTGCTTACTTTTAATCCAAGGACAAACATTGTTTTACATACCATTATTTAATCCCCCCCCCCCCCAAAAAAAAAAAAATATATATATATATAAATAAACATCAATTCTAACAAAATATAACTAGTAAATAACAAGAACCAATAATGACAATTCTTGACATAATCAATACATAAACACACATAACAAGATTGATAAAAAGTATATCACAACCTAGATACTTAACCACGTTATTATAAGGCAACATTAAAGTATGATAGATTAATTTCAAGAACTTATTTTGAAAAACATTTTTTTAAATATATTCTGTATACTTATTTTTGAATTCAACTATTTTAATATTGTCAAAGTGGTAAAGATTTTGTTATACTAAATCACAAAATTATTTATCTCTGAAAAGTACTTTAATGGGCAAAATTGTATGAAATAAAATTTATAATAATCAATTAAAACCTTTGTCTAGACTGAAGAGTCTCTGTATCGAACCATTCTTTCCAATCTATTGCTTGCTGAAGCTGGAGATCTAAACGCTGTGAAAGTTGTTGAATTTGTCTAAATAGTAAAACATTAAATTTGAAATATTTAATTAAAATATTATTCAAGTTATAAATACACTTATCTTGAAAAATCTCTTAGTTAAACAGTTTTCAGTTTGCAAAGCGTGCATTCTCCATTTTAGTCAGAATTTTAATTCTTTAAAAGACAAAAATGAAAAATATGCACTTTCTTTGACACTATCTACAGACGAAAATAAAGAGTATGCATGAGAAAATGTAGAATATGCCAAAATGGAGAATATGAATATATTTCTTTGACGCTTTCTACAGACAAAAAAGGAGAATATGCACTTTCTTTGATATTATCTACAGACTTTATAACTTTATAACAAGTGTGTTTAATTATAAAGAGATTTAGTACATGACGTTATTATAGAATTTTAATAAGAAATCTAGAAATTCTTTATAGTTTTTTTTTTTTCATAAACTACTAAACAATTTGTTTATATATTTTATTGTATGATTTTCACAAAATTTAGGTTAAAAATATGAACAAAAATTTTCGATATTTTATGCTTGTTTATTGCTTTAAATAGGTTTTTAAATAGGAAAATAGCAAATATAATGTTTTTTATACCAAATATATGCTTTGTATATAGAACATGCATTCTTTATAAAAAGAGGGTGGGAACAGACATTTTTAAAAAAAGTTGTTTTTGGGACAACCTAATACATATTATTTTTTATGATACAACTTTTTGAATTTTTCTTTGAACCCCCACCCTGCAGGCCCTTTGATAAACTACTAATATATATATATACAGGCCTTGTTTTAAATAAAAAAGTGCTTAACGCATTAGCTTAACGCGATTTTGACGTCATAAAATTATCTTTATTTTTTTTTATAGACGTTAAGTGTTTTAACTACCGCAATAAATAAATAACCGCAAACTATTTCAATTTAACAATTAACTTAAATATAAACTATAAACGTTTTAAATATAAATTTATTATGAAAATTTTGTAATGTTTTCAATAGTTATTTTATTATTAATTTTAGTTCATTATTATTTAGTAAAATATATATATATATATATATATATATATATATATATATATATTAATTATTTCTGAAATTTGTTTTTGAATAATTGTTTTTAATCGTTATTGAATAAAAAATAATAATGATTTTTTTTATTTTTAATAATTTCTAGAGTAAACAAAAAATATTAACATTGATAAACGCAAACCCATGTTAATTACTAAACAACGATTTTGTTTCGACTAACAAAGAAAAATTTAAGTTTTTAAATATTTTTTAAATTTTTAAAAGCGTTCAAAAGCGTTTAAAAGCGTTCAAACTTGCGTTTTATAAAAATATAAAAAAGTTTTGTCTGCTTTGTGCATATTTTTGATACGTAGTTTAGAACGCGTTCGCTAAGAATTTAATTCATAAATTTTTTATGTTATTGTAAAAATATTTAACTTTTTAAACAAATCACAAAGAAACAGAGCTATAGAGAAAAATCGTTTTCAACGAATAAATCTTTTTTTTTTTAATTTTAGGAAATTAAAAAAAAAATTAAATTAAATATAAATGTCTTAACTATGCAAACTCTTTTGTTAATTATTCTTAAAACAAAAAAAAACAAATACTTCTACGCCAAACTTTAATCGTGCAAACTTAAAAAAATACTCAACTGAAATAATTTAAGTATATTTAATAATTTGAATCGTATCTGTTTATAATAAACGTTCGTAAAAATTTGTTTATTAAAAATTAAGTTCTTTAACTTATAAACAAACTCAAAAGTATTTTCATTCTACGTATAATTACAAAACTCTTTTTTTTTTCGTTTGAAAGCAATTTAACTTAATAAAATAAAAAAAAGAATAAATATGAGGTAATCTTTGTTAAGAATAACGTTAATTTATTTATTGAACTATATTTTTATTTTTAATTATATATCAACTTAATTAAAATATAGTAACATGTTAAAATATTTTAACATGACTTGTATTATTTATAAACCGTTGGGCAGTTGCCCTTACGGCACTATTGTTTTTGGATAATATTTTATTTTGATGAAGATCACATAACTTACATTTGATTTTAATAACGTAAGTCTTCTCTTTTTCTGTGATCATCGCATCGGCAAAGCATCGGCAAAGTCCCAAGATTTAAAAGTTTTTAAAGTAAATCTTTTGTCCTTCAAAATACAATCCATATTCGAACTTTAAACAATTTAGAGATAATAGAAATATACAAGGTTTTTATATACTAGTTTGTTTTGTTTTATAAAGAAAAATACATAATCATTAGTAAAAAATGGAGACTGTCATTAAACTAAAACGTGCCTTAGTATTTATTTAACGGAACCTGTAATGTGCGCGTGCATAATAAAACCTCCGTTATATAAATATATTCAACGTAATATTAGTGTCATCAGCGGATGTTGTAGTCTACTCATGATTTCTTTACCTTATATTATAACTTGATTTATGAAAAAAAAAACTTATTGAATCGCACGCAGAAGAATTTTAACAAATTGTCTTCATTCAAATATTGCGAGTAACAGGTAATTTTTTTTTTCTGTGCCGACCCCCTCCCCCCGCATAACTTAAATTATATACTAATAAACTAATAAGAAAAGCTATATACTATTAAACTAACTATAAGCTATATACTATTAAACTAATAAGAAAAACAAAGACATTTTTTTTAACATCTCGAAAAAATGTCTTGATATTTTTGTTATCATGATAACAAAAATATTAAGACATTTTTTGAGATTTTATTAAAAAAAAATGTCAATTCTTAATTACAAATTTTTTTGCAAATGTTTTTTATTATAAATTCAGTAAAAAATTCATAAAAAATCTATTATTACAAAAAACTTTTATATTCTGTATTAATAAATATGTAATATAGATTTTTTAAAAGTTTTTTTACTAAAAACTTTAAAAAATTACTACTTTTTATTAAAAACATTGCAAAAAATTTGTAGTTAAAGATTGACAAACAATTTTTCATGTTGCTAAATATTTGGATAAAAAGTTTAGCGTCAATTAATTGCTATAAAAAGGAAAGATATATCGCAATGAAAAGTTACAATAATTATTTTTAAAGAAAATTCTTTTTTTTAATAAATACCTTTACATAACGTTATTTAAAAGTTAATGTGGTTTTTTTGAAAATTAATTACTTCTTTTATGTTACCGCTAATTTAAAAGTTAAAAAATGATAAAAAGTAGCTTAACCAAAACAGCTCTACGCGTACGTAAAAAGTGCTTAAGGCGTACGTAAATCGCTCTAGGCGTAACGCTTTAAAACAAGGCCTGTATATATATATATATATATATATATATATATATATATATATATATATATATATATATATATATATATATATATATATATATATATATATATATATATATATATATATATATATATATATATATATATATATATATATATATATATATATGCACTTGCCTTAAGAACTTCCAAAGGCGAAAATTATAAATTGATTTAATAGAAAATATTTTCAGTAAAATTTTTGTGCTGAAGTCAAAATATGTTTAAATAATAGAGTTTGCATATTGCTAAATAAAGAAGTTATATTCGTAATAAAGCATGACACACATAATTTATGTGTGATGCACTTCAAATTTAATTTATTTGATATAAGTTCAAATAAAAAATGATTTATTTCTTTTATTTGAAAGCTAAATCCAGCAGGTTTTTTTTAAAAAAAATTCAAGTTGAACTTTATCATATTATCCACTAAATCATACCATGGTTCAAACCATTTGCTAACTCATAGTTTTTTAGGGTCCATTTGACAAAAAACTTTGCTTAACTAGAACTTTTACTTTGAATTTCATAAAAGTCCACGTAATAAAATATCAAAACTTGCAACACTTCAATGAAAATTCCAAACTTAAATGTTAAAAAATTAAATATCTCACTTAATATTTATAAACATCTAGCGTAATATTTATAAATATCTTATAAATGTCAAGCATAATTTATCAAACTAAAACTTCTTTTAAAGCTTCAATTTTGTACAGGTTAGAAAATATATAAAGCTTCAATTTTGTACAGGTTAGATCAGCTTTGATATTAAATAAAAACATTGAAATGTTGCCATAAAATGGCAACATTTCAATGTTTTTATTTAATATCAAAGCTGCAGTAACATATTTCCGGTAGATAGACAAATGCAAACCAAAGCTTTTTTGTTTCATTTTCCTGACTTCCACATAAAAAAAATTTAAACAAAAAATCGTCCACCCTTTTCCTTTTACGCACTGGTACACTTTTGAGTGACCCCCTTCCCATACTTGCAAACGTAATTTATGGATGGCCCCATGGCCATCCATACACACACACACCTACAGTTAAGATTTTAAAGTTATTGTTTGTGGTAAAAAAAATCAATGCTTAACTTCTCTATGACATCTAGCAAGAAAAAATTAAGTACAGATTATGTCAAAAAGCATTAATTTAATTGAGGATATTAATTAAATTTGTCGTTTTTTGAAAAACCACAAAAAGGCAAACTATAAGACTAGAATGTTTTTAAAACATTTTAAATATGTTTAAAAAAACATACTGAGTGTTTTTATTTTTATTTTTTTACTGTAAAACATGCACAGAGTGTTGCTACATCAACTATCTTATAGCCTGCTTTTAAGAGGAAGTGCTGCTACATTAACTGAGGGCAAGCAGTCTATCAAATAATAAAAAACGGAAAAAAACTTGACACTTTATGAGAAAATTTAAAAACAACCAAGCAAGAACATATATACATCTATTTAAGAGATGTATGTCATATAAGGGAATTTTATTTTCAAATAATTTTTATTCTAGTTAATAAGTTATTAGATATATCAAAGATGCTTATTGAATTTAATAGATTTTTATTTTTTCAAAATTAATCATAATTAATATGCAATGACCTAAAGATTGCAAACTGTTATCCATTGATATTATATAGTAAATTCAGTTTGTTAAATTTATTTACTATTAAAAAAAATGTATAAACT